TAACAATAATAAGGAGATTTGGATCAATCTTTTGCCTAAAAGCAATTCACTATTTAATTTTGTTATCTAAATCTATGTATTTAATATATTTGAATATTCTTCAAAAACTATCTTCTCTTACAGTGAACAAATTAAAAATATATATATATATAAATTACTTCAAATTATGAACTTATAATTTTTATAAACTTAAGACAATTTTAGACTATTCTATCTAAAAATGTATTATATTTTGAGATATAATAGCTTATTTTAAGAAACCCTTTTAACTTGGAATTAGAATTGAAAGTTTAAAATATTATATTATTTTAATATACTTAAGGTACCTTTAAAGTTAAGAATTTAAATATAAATATTATAATTTCATATTAATCTCATCACAAGGTTAATAGATTTTGTTAGAAGAGAAAGAAAATTTATTCATTCAGTAAGATGCAATAATCTATTAAATCAGTTATATTCAAGAATATAAGAAGAATATTTGAATGTTAATGAACTAAATGAAAAAAAATAGTTTTTAACTTAATAAAAAGACTTTACATAGAAATATTTTAATTATTATTGAATTTTGAATTGAAAATTATAAAAATGTATTAAATATATTGGGTGAAAAAAAAATAATTAAAAAAAAACATTTAGATTAATGAATCACTAAATTTAATTCTATCTGAATTTTAATTCAAATTAGAAAGAAATATTCTTCATCTATATAAATTTATTAATGAAATAATTGTTATTGTATTTGCTATCCTTTCTAATGTATTCTTGCATTAGTGGCGAAGCCAAATTGAATTATAAATTAGCAGAAGGTTCAAAACGAAAATTAGAAGAGAGTAAACCAAATATAACATCTTTACCATGGGAACCAATAAGAATTCATTATGAATTCTTATAAAGCACATATGATTCCAAAGCAATGACATTTTTAAAAAAGGTTCTAGATATAACAACCACCCTTTTTTAAAGATATTTATTAGTACAAAGAACTAATTCTAAGATTACTTATAAAAGTAGTTATCCTGATTAAATATTTGGATTTACTATAAGTTAAGAATTGTAAAATAAAGAATATGATGCAGATTTGGTATACTATATAATTTATAGTAGGTTTTATTTATTAATCTTGAGAATTCATTTTTCGCATCTTATTTAGCTTATTGTGGTCCTGCAATTTTTGATGAAGTAACATTAAGACCAATATTTGGATTGGTTTCTTGGAATATATTTTATACAGAATTGGAATCAATGACTAATTCAGTATTTGAAACTAATGTTGAGATAGCAGTTCATGAATTCATTCATGGATTAGGTTTTATAGATGATTACTTCTTAAGTTATTATGATTCATTCACAGGAGAAAGTTATAATACTTCAACTACTTATGAATAATCATATGTTACTTATTTGTCAACACCAAGAATAACTAATTTTGCATAATATCATTTTAATTGTACAACATTAAAAGGAGTATAAATGGAAGATAATGGAGGATCTGGAACTAGAGGATCTCATTTTGAAAGAAGTCTCTTTTATAATGAAATAATGACAGGTTCAGATATGACAGGAAACTTTTTAATTACAGATTTTACATTTGAATTATTGTAAGATACAGGGTAATAATTTATTATTAATATTTTAGATTTTATAGAATAGCAGATTATTCACCTGATTAATCAATGTGGGGTAAAAATTAAGGATGTGAATTTGCAGAAAAAAAATGTAATGGAGGCAGTTTTTCAGAATTTTGCACTGAAGATAATTCTTAGGGTTGTTCATTTTATAAAACAGGTGTTTCAAAATGTACTTCAGAAAAATTATCAGGACCTTGTAGGTATTTTTACATTAATTCTGGCTTTGATTGCAGAGATCCTGATAATATTGAAGCTTAAAAATCATCTGAATTTATTTAACATTTTGGATTTGATAGTATGTGTATTTCTGGATCTGTTTCAAAAAAAGAAACTTATTCAAAATTCTCTTGCATCTAATATAAATGTGATCTAAACAATAAATTATCACTTGTTATTGAAGGATAAGAATTTGATTGTTCAAAAGAAGAAAATATCAAACTTCCTGAATCTTATTATGGAAATATTACATGTCCTTCAAATTCTTCATAATTTTGTTAAAATAGAGATGGATGTCCTAATCTTTGTAGTTCAAAAGGGTTCTGTATGAATAAAGAAGTATTCCATTATTTAAATATTAAAGTGTGTTTGTATGGTAGGATACTCATCAGATGATTGTAGTGTAGAATGTACCAAATATAGATACAAAGGTAGTTGTTTAGACCAATGTCCAGATTCTACTTATGTATACGAAAATATTAAGTATTGTGTTGGATGTCCAGCTGTATTAATTATTTCTTATAATCTTAGAATTGTTTGACATGTACAAATTATAATTAATGTACATCATGTAAACTAGGTTATGTTTTAAGAGGATCGTTTTGTGATAATTATCAATTGATTGATCTACTTACAGGTAAATTACCAATTTCAAATTCCGCATCTAATAATTCTACCTCTAATTCAACAAATACTGATGCTAATTCATCTGATACTTAAAATAATAATAATACAAATACAAACGTAGATACAACTAATGATCCAATCACTGAATCAAATACAAATAATACAACTNGTAACATTAAGACCAATATTTGGATTGGTTTCTTGGAATATATTTTATACAGAATTGGAATCAATGACTAATTCAGTATTTGAAACTAATGTTGAGATAGCAGTTCATGAATTCATTCATGGATTAGGTTTTATAGATGATTACTTCTTAAGTTATTATGATTCATTCACAGGAGAAAGTTATAATACTTCAACTACTTATGAATAATCATATGTTACTTATTTGTCAACACCAAGAATAACTAATTTTGCATAATATCATTTTAATTGTACAACATTAAAAGGAGTATAAATGGAAGATAATGGAGGATCTGGAACTAGAGGATCTCATTTTGAAAGAAGTCTCTTTTATAATGAAATAATGACAGGTTCAGATATGACAGGAAACTTTTTAATTACAGATTTTACATTTGAATTATTGTAAGATACAGGGTAATAATTTATTATTAATATTTTAGATTTTATAGAATAGCAGATTATTCACCTGATTAATCAATGTGGGGTAAAAATTAAGGATGTGAATTTGCAGAAAAAAAATGTAATGGAGGCAGTTTTTCAGAATTTTGCACTGAAGATAATTCTTAGGGTTGTTCATTTTATAAAACAGGTGTTTCAAAATGTACTTCAGAAAAATTATCAGGACCTTGTAGGTATTTTTACATTAATTCTGGCTTTGATTGCAGAGATCCTGATAATATTGAAGCTTAAAAATCATCTGAATTTATTTAACATTTTGGATTTGATAGTATGTGTATTTCTGGATCTGTTTCAAAAAAAGAAACTTATTCAAAATTCTCTTGCATCTAATATAAATGTGATCTAAACAATAAATTATCACTTGTTATTGAAGGATAAGAATTTGATTGTTCAAAAGAAGAAAATATCAAACTTCCTGAATCTTATTATGGAAATATTACATGTCCTTCAAATTCTTCATAATTTTGTTAAAATAGAGATGGATGTCCTAATCTTTGTAGTTCAAAAGGGTTCTGTATGAATAAAGAAGTATTCCATTATTTAAATATTAAAGTGTGTTTGTATGGTAGGATACTCATCAGATGATTGTAGTGTAGAATGTACCAAATATAGATACAAAGGTAGTTGTTTAGACCAATGTCCAGATTCTACTTATGTATACGAAAATATTAAGTATTGTGTTGGATGTCCAGCTGTATTAATTATTTCTTATAATCTTAGAATTGTTTGACATGTACAAATTATAATTAATGTACATCATGTAAACTAGGTTATGTTTTAAGAGGATCGTTTTGTGATAATTATCAATTGATTGATCTACTTACAGGTAAATTACCAATTTCAAATTCCGCATCTAATAATTCTACCTCTAATTCAACAAATACTGATGCTAATTCATCTGATACTTAAAATAATAATAATACAAATACAAACGTAGATACAACTAATGATCCAATCACTGAATCAAATACAAATAATACAACTACAGAAACTAATGATACAAACACAGAAACGAATGATACAAACACAGAAACTAATGATACAAACACAGAAACGAATGATACAAACACAGAAACGAATGATACAAACACAGAAACAAATGATACAAGCACAGAAACAAATGATACAAACACAGAAACAAATGACACAACCACAGAAACAAATGAAGAAGTAGATAATACAAACACAGAAACAAATGACACAACCACAGAAGTAAATGAAGAAGTAAATAATACAAACACAGAAATAAATAATACTAACACAGATACAAATACAAATTCAAGCACAAATACATTTACCAATAAAAATTTTAACTAAACTGAAAAAGCATAAAATTCTTAAGGTTTAATATATCTGATTAATATATTTTTGCTTGCATATTTTTGAAATATTCATCAATTAAATTTCAATTCACTCTTCTTTATAATAAAATAAGATTTAAATAAGATTAATTATTGAATAACTAAATTCAATACAATCCATAAATATCTTTATTTTAGCTTATCATAATTCTCAAATATAATATACTGAAAATAAGAATAACCCTTTAATATTAATTCAATAACATTATTACAATAAATTTCTTAATCACTTACAAAAGATATATCAATCTTCATAGAAAATGTTTTCAGATAGAATTATTTGATTACATACACTATTTTAATAAAATTTAATAATTTCTAGTTATTTTTATCTCTTATTTTTATTGTTTATATAATAAAATTTAAATTATTAGTGAATAAATGGATTTCTAGAATTTAAAAAATAATATAATAATATTTTTTAATATCATAAATATATTTATAACTTTTGATGAATTACATAAATCAATATTTAATTATTGAGAAATTTATATAAAATTATTGACAATTATAAAATATATTTTATTATAAAATTTATATGATTAACGAAGCAAAATTCGAATTGTTAAAATAAATTGATTATTGGACACAAGATTTGTAAAAATATTAAAAATAACATGCAAAAGAGATAGAATTGTTTTATTTGGAAAGATTGGCAGTATCAATAATATATAAATTTATTAGATTACAAATATGAATCTATCAAATATGGAATAGATTATTAGAAAATATGAATAATTAAAAATGCTGTATTAAGAAATAACTAATAATCATTCTTAAAAATAATCAGATGACACATTCAATACATTATATAATAAATATTGTAATGAAAAGAAAAGTAAGCAATCTATAGCATAATCTTAAAAGAAATCAATTAATAATAATACAACTGTTTAAAATAAAGGTAGAAACTCAAATTAGAATCCTAATATTAATACAAACAAAGATTAAAAAATGAATAATTAATAATCATCCATTTAACCTACCTAAATTATTGATGAATACATTGATGAGATAGATTATTATGCTGATAAAGTCACACATTTATAACATAAAATAGAATAGCATTCCCATGAAGAATTATTAGGCTAATTAAATTAGTTGTAATTAGAATAAGAGAGTTTGCAATCTGATTATAATGCAATCATAGAGGAGAACGAAAGATTGAAAGTAGACATATAGGACAATCAATAGAGAGTAAATGAATTGAGAGAATTATAATTATAATTGATTGATGAATTCAAATAATTTAATTGAATATGGGTAATTAGAATACAATCGATAATGGTATTAAGACCTTCATAAAATCAGAGTTTGATAGAGTTAAAAGTGATAATCAAAGACAACATCTCAAAATTTCTGAAGTCTTAAAACTCCAACATCCAGAAAATAATCCATTAACATTTGCCCATCTTGGAACTCTATATGTGTTAGATAGCAAGCATACAGGTTTAATCACAATAGATTAATTATTTCACTTTGCTTAATATTGTGGAAGAAATCTCAAAAATGTTTAAGCTTATGAATTTTAATCTTAACTTCAAGGATTGTGTACATCTATGTTATGGGATCAAATTTGCAAAAATGGCATTGATCATGTTACTGAATGGTTTATACGTCTTTTGACTACCAATGATACTGTTATTACATATTAAAGTCATCAGTTTATTAAACTAGAAACTGTATAAATACTTTATGAAGTACTATATATTAATACAATATAGTTATCTAATACTAAAATCATGTCAAATATTGATATTTAGTAATTTGTTGATCTATTATAATAAGCAGGAGAAGAAGCAGGGCTGATGTCTTTAGATCAAGAAGAATTAGATGAGTTTGTTCCTTTGGAAATCTGTAGTGAATTCATTAAAAACTTTTTAAATGGATTCAAGACCTTAATGTTAGAAATAGGTTTTTCAAATAATGGAAAATGATAATTATAACAATGTAATTCATCTAATAAATAATTATGATTAATTAAATACAAAAATATATTATTTACAATTATTTTATCAAATCTTTATGGATGTTCTAAATTCCAATATCAATTAATGAAAGCTAAGAACTATGAATAGATTACTATTAATTATGTCTTTAATATTATACTTTTCTCCTTCATCCCCCCCTTCCAGAGCAGTCCGTTCATTACTTCTCTTGTCAAAGGTTATATTTTAAGGAAAGATTGTTGATTTAATGAAAGTAGAACACAAAACTCCTGAATATTAATACATCAATCCAAATTAATATTTGCCAGTATTGATTGATGGATCATTAAAACTTTTTGAAAGCCATGCAATACTAAAATATCTAGCATCAAAAAAGAAATTGACATAATTTTATCCAAAAGTATTAGAAATTACTAAATAATAAGGATATCCAAAACAGAGCAAGAGTTGACTGTTATTTAGATTGGAGTTAAACAGGATTAAATGTTATAGAAACATATACAAATTAATGTTACCTATTTCCAATGTTGATGAAAAAACCCATTCCATAAAATAAAGAATAAATGTATCAAGATACAATTGAGACTCTTAAATTCTTTGAATCCATTTTTTTTTAGGGAAGATACATATAAAATCAACCATCAATAACAATAGCTGATTTAAAGTACTTATATAATATATTGGAAGATGTATTGCTGATTTGACCCAACTACTTTTGACAAACTTAGATTTCAATCAATTTCCAAAAATTAGAAACTATCTATAAGAAATGTTCTCAATTCCAGAAATAAGAGAAGCATATGCTGAATATTTGGATATNTCTATGTTATGGGATCAAATTTGCAAAAATGGCATTGATCATGTTACTGAATGGTTTATACGTCTTTTGACTACCAATGATACTGTTATTACATATTAAAGTCATCAGTTTATTAAACTAGAAACTGTATAAATACTTTATGAAGTACTATATATTAATACAATATAGTTATCTAATACTAAAATCATGTCAAATATTGATATTTAGTAATTTGTTGATCTATTATAATAAGCAGGAGAAGAAGCAGGGCTGATGTCTTTAGATCAAGAAGAATTAGATGAGTTTGTTCCTTTGGAAATCTGTAGTGAATTCATTAAAAACTTTTTAAATGGATTCAAGACCTTAATGTTAGAAATAGGTTTTTCAAATAATGGAAAATGATAATTATAACAATGTAATTCATCTAATAAATAATTATGATTAATTAAATACAAAAATATATTATTTACAATTATTTTATCAAATCTTTATGGATGTTCTAAATTCCAATATCAATTAATGAAAGCTAAGAACTATGAATAGATTACTATTAATTATGTCTTTAATATTATACTTTTCTCCTTCATCCCCCCCTTCCAGAGCAGTCCGTTCATTACTTCTCTTGTCAAAGGTTATATTTTAAGGAAAGATTGTTGATTTAATGAAAGTAGAACACAAAACTCCTGAATATTAATACATCAATCCAAATTAATATTTGCCAGTATTGATTGATGGATCATTAAAACTTTTTGAAAGCCATGCAATACTAAAATATCTAGCATCAAAAAAGAAATTGACATAATTTTATCCAAAAGTATTAGAAATTACTAAATAATAAGGATATCCAAAACAGAGCAAGAGTTGACTGTTATTTAGATTGGAGTTAAACAGGATTAAATGTTATAGAAACATATACAAATTAATGTTACCTATTTCCAATGTTGATGAAAAAACCCATTCCATAAAATAAAGAATAAATGTATCAAGATACAATTGAGACTCTTAAATTCTTTGAATCCATTTTTTTTTAGGGAAGATACATATAAAATCAACCATCAATAACAATAGCTGATTTAAAGTACTTATATAATATATTGGAAGATGTATTGCTGATTTGACCCAACTACTTTTGACAAACTTAGATTTCAATCAATTTCCAAAAATTAGAAACTATCTATAAGAAATGTTCTCAATTCCAGAAATAAGAGAAGCATATGCTGAATATTTGGATATGATTTAAAATACTAAACCTAATGATTCTATATCTTATATCATCAGCGGAATTGATAAAAGATAAAATTGGCAAATCAATTTATATCATCATCCTTTCTCATCTCCCTCCAGAGCCGCTAGAACTATATTGTTATACAGTGGAATAGAATATAAAGAAAAAATTATCTATATTTAGAAAGGGGAAAATAAAACTCTTGAATATTAAGCTATTAATCCTAATGAATCTCTCCCAGCTATTTAAGATGGCAATTTATGTTTATTTGAAAGTGGTGCTATTATGAAGTATGTGGCTCAAAAATTTAAATTATATAAACTTTACCCATTCAATTTTGAAGCCAAAGCACAAGTTGATTAATATTTTGACTTTCATATAAATGAAATGCAATTTCTTACTAAATATGCCTTTTCTTGTTTCATTGGTCCTGCTCTTATGAAATTGCCAATACCTTCTAATAAAGTTTAATAATTAAAAGATATTAAAGTTACTCTTGAGTTCTTTGTGAAGGTATTTTTAAATAAAGGTAATTGGGCTTTCATAAATGGATCTTCAATTCCTACTTTGGCAGACATTAGAGTTTGTTGTGATTTAGCTCAATTATTTATTACAGACATTCCTTTTGAATATATATTAGGTTTGGATACTTATATCTAAAGAGTATTTCAAATGACTGAAATGAAGAAATCTCATAGTGAATACTTCCAATTTTTATAAAGCTAAAAAATTAGTAAGTTTGCTTTACAAATTACTTAAATCCAAGAAATTGTAAAATGTAATGAAAAATTAACTTTATACTTTAATTTTGTATCTCCCCCCCTCTAAAGCAGTAAAATCCTTGTTAAATTTGGCATAAATATCTTATACTGAAAAGGATATTGATATATAAGGGGGATAGAATATAAGACCTCCTTATAAAATTATAAATCCAAATTAGAGTCTACCAGCTATAACTTTTGGAGACTTTTGTTTATTTGAAAGCCATGCAATAATGAAATTTATTTGCATTCAATTTAATTTGATAGAATTCTATCCTAATTATCCTATGAGAAGCAAAATAGATTCCTTTTTAGATTTTCATCATACAGGTTTCAAATAATTTACTTTATATTTAATGGATTTCTTTTTTGGTCCAAAATTTATGAAAAAATAAATGCCATAAAATAAGGAAGAAAGACTTAGAGAGATATATGAATTACTTCAATTTTTTATAGACACTTTCTTAGGAGGAGGACATTACAAGTATATTATGGGATCCAAGACTCCAACAATAGCAGATTTAACGTAAATTTATTATTTAAATATAGATTTATAACAGAGATTTCTGGTTTATTTTTTTGTTGATTTTGATTTTACACCATTCCCTTCTTTAAAAAAGTATTTAAGAAATCTATTTGAAATGAAATATATTAGAGATACTTATAGCAAATATTTTTTGGTAGCAAGATTTATGACATCATCTATGAATAATTACATTACTTCCTTAGTTAAAGGAATAAAAGAGGGAGAAAATGCATGTTGTGAGTTAATTTGATTTAATCTTAATATAATTCATAAATTAAAATTAGCTATCATCCCATTTATAAACTCTCCTATTTAAGGAGCGATTTACAAAGTATTAATTTCTTATTTTTAAATATAATTTTTAGACTTTTCTAATTTAATCCTGATTATCTCTTGATATTCTAAATCTTCTTCAATTTCTCTAATTTACTTAATACATTTGGTTTCATCATTTGGGTTTTTTTCTATTTACTTTTAAAGTTCTTTAATTTTTTCTAATGCTTATAGATTGGATAGATAATGAACTTCATTAACCAAATAAACCATCAAAATGGTTAACCATTCTGAATCCGTAAATTTTTTAGGTTTACAACCAAAATAATGTTCCTGATTTATTTTCATAATTTTAATCACTTAATCATCATACACAAATAATCCATCTTGAAGTTATCTATTCATTAAATTATTAATCATATGTTTAATGGAATATTTAGTTTTTGGATCAAAAAACTTACTATACAAACTCATGGCAACACCTCCAACGGTTCCTCCTATTATTGCTCCTAGTACTGGAATTGAAATTAATATTTATCCTACTACAGCTGAGCCTATGCCTACTGAACTTTAAACTCCAATATGTGCTAAATTCTTCATTTTCTCATTGTTATTAATCACCTTATTATTTGCGGTCAATCTAATTGCATAGAACATTAAAGCTTAAGATAAGATTGTTCCAATTACAGGTATACGCATAGCTGCTCCTACTAAACCAGTTGCAACTGAACTAAATCCTGCTCTTTTTAATTTTTGTTCCCATGGAATTTTAGGATCAACACTATCTACAATTAGACAACCTAATCCTGTTCCAATTGATCCTCCAACAACTGATGTACTTGTCAACATTTATTAGGATTGAATTGAATTTTATTAATTTAACCAAGTTTTATATTTTAAACAATCCCCATCTTAGTCGAATAATTTTGAATCTAAATTTATTTAGACACTTAAATTCTACTCGAAAGTATAATGCATATGGATTGCATGTTAAAATGTTTAAATTAATGTTGACATTTAGTATACACCTAGATTCAATTTAATATACTCATAGAAATGCCTAATAATAGATTTGATTAAATCTTTTTCAAAAATTAAGAATTCAATCCTATAAAAAATTATTTCTTTAAGTGAAATATGACATTAGGAAATTATATATTAAGATGTTTCTATTTATAATACTTGGTATGTTGTAACATTAGCCAAAGTGTGATATATAGTAAGTGTTTCATTTAAGAATTCCATTTAAGTATTACAAAACAAAAGATGTTCTATTTATATATAAATGAACGTTTTGTATTATTGAGTTAAAATATTTTTTCAATTACCAATATAAGAAGTTGCTATTAGGCACTTTTGCAAAGTCACTCATTTCAATTACTAAAACAGACATAGTTTATTCTAGTAAATTAGTCATATATTAATGAAATTCTTAACATTTAAAAGATTTAGTAGTTAAATCTATTACAATACTTTCAATTAGCTTATAAGAATGATTAATAAGGCTTTTACATAGATTACTAAAATATTCTAAATATTCAGGCCATCTTGGATATTTAAATTATGGACAATTTATAGAATCTGTTATTATTTGATCCAAAACAATTTCATTAAGCTTCTCTTTACTTACATCTTTGTGTTAACCCAATGATATTTTTATGAATGTACAAATATTCAAAATTACATAAGCATTCTCGTCATTCAAATTTTTGATAATTAATTCTTATTTTCTACAATAATTTTAATATATATATTCATCATCTAATTTATTTTCTACAATAAGAAGTTATCTTAATATATGTTTTGGATTTAATATGATTGGAACAACTTTACATAGCTCTAACTATTAATTGATAATTTGTTGAAATTATTAAATAAACATAATTTATAAATTTCAAGGCAAATTGCAAAATGTATATTCAAAGTTATCATAATCGATTGTGATAGCAGCAAAAAGAATTAGGCATTTATCCTATGAAGTGCATTGAGGAGGAAATTCAACCAAAAATTTATCTGCTTTGCTACAATATTCTTATGCACATCCATTAAAAATATTTCTAATTCTTCCTACTTTCTATTTCATAGGATTATAAATGTCATAGTCAATATATTAACAAGGACCTGTACATCTTGGTATACCACACATTCTTGTTATACAACCACATTAAACAAATTCACCAGAAATGAAATATCTTGTATTCCCTGAAGGATCACAAATATCAATTTCTTCAAGAATTGGTATAGGACATCTAGATATCATTTTCATATATTACTCTGATCTACCACAACACATGAATGGCTATTTTAGATATCCTATCACTTCGGAATCACGAGATACAACCATTTCGGGTCTCTCACATGGTAAACATAAAACTGAAGGAACTTTATAAATTCCTAAAATAAATATTCTCTATTACGTTGTGCTTTAAACATGATTTGATTTTAATTATTGATGAATAATAGATCTAAAGCTCTCCAACATTAACAAAAGAATCTTTAAGCACATTCGGATTCCTCTTGGATGATCCCAAGCTACTATGAAGCAAGAAGTCCTGTTTATTCAGAGACTGAAATCTGATAACTGTTTTTCTTTTCACCAATACATGGACATATACATTCTATACAACTATTAATTATTATTGATGACTTACTCTGGTTTTTAATCTATAAGCATAAAATTTACTCCTGCAAATGGCTAATATAAGATATTTTCATTACATCAGCAGTAAAAAATTAAGCTCCATATTATTGTAATTATCCAACTATAGCATTTCCAATAGCATTTCCCAATGCTTAAGAATTTGGTACTGCACCATATTAAACTTACATTGATAATTTAATTAAATAATTATTAATAGTTTATACATTTAATATCTATTATTGATAAAAGTGGGAAATAAAAATAATTTTAAATAAAGATAAATATGAGTTAAGAAATATATGTAAGCGATGATGGTAAAATAAAATTATTAAATGGTGCAGAATAAGGGATGAGATTAGTAAATTCTAATACCAGACAAGTTATAACATAAGTATTTATTCTAATTTCTAAATATAGTCACCAATAATTGAATTTTCATAATAATAAATCAGGACTTAAGATGAAGCACCTATTCTTTAAACATAATAAGTTCTTCCCCCCAGAATTTCAAGCCAAAAAGTTTTAAGATAAAATATTTCAATTCCACAAGTCTCATATCCTGGTACTTACAGTGTTTAATAAAATTGCCAATAAGCTCCTCCACTTTGTATGAATATTGTAGTTGTTTCAAAAGAAGAAATAGAAACACCTTGGAGATTAGAATGTGAATATCTTTAGTCAATTATTGCTGATTTAGAAAGAAGAAAGGAAGCCAAAGTTGTTGAAAAAGAAGTAGTTAAAGTCGTTACAGATAATACAAGAATTGAATAATTAGAATCTCAATTACAATAATTACGTAGAGAGAATGATTAACTTAAAAATTAAATGATGTAAATGAGAAATAACTATGAATAATAATTGGATTCCTTAAGAGGAGACATTACATTACATAGTGCCAATGCTGCAGATGCTGCTTCATTATAAGCTGAATTCTTTGCCATGAGAACTTAATTGGAAGACTAGATTGCAGGATTAAGAAGATAAATATCTGATCTAGAACTTTAATTAAGTTAATCATAATAAGAAAATGATAGGCTTAAATAATTACTTTAAAATAGAGATGGTGAAATTCAATAATTAAGATTACAATTATCAAAATTACAAACAAGTGCTCAAGATACAAGTCAATTAAGAGATTTAGAAAATCAATTGAGATTATCTAAGGATGATAATTCAAGACTTGAAAGATTATTATAATAAGCTAATTAAGATATTTAGAATTGGAAAAACAAATATACACTTATTGAATAAGAATCTTATACCAAAAATAATGAATTAATTATGTAAATAAGAGATTATGAAGTAATAAACTTTATTATTTTAGAATAAATTAGCTTTAATATCTACTGATATTGAAAGGTTGCAAATTCAAATCAGAAATAAAGATGCTGAATTAAATGAATGGAAATTGAGATATACTGAATTAGAATCTTAAGGAACTACAGTTATTTAAGAGAAAGTCACTTATCTATCTGAGGAAGTTGAAGTTTGGAAGTAGAAGTTCATTAAAACCAACCATGAATACAATAAGTGTTAGGAAGAATTGACTATGTGTTAAGCAGAATTAGAATCTCTTAAGAAGAGTGGATCAAGGAAAGTAAATTTAATATTGAAATTTAGGAAGTTGTTGTAACTCAAAGAACTGTAACATCAAGGGCAGGCAATACTTTAACAGTTACTGGGCCTACTGGATCATAATCTTAAATTAAAAGAACTAGTTAATAGGAATGATAATCAGTTTATCTAAGTACAAGTACATGTATCAATAATCCTTTTATATAATTTATTTAATGATTTTTCTTTTTTGAATTTTTAATAAATACTATATCTAAATTTATTTGTTGTCTTTACATTGGAAGAAGAGTAAGAAAATCTCATTTCTTTATTAAATCAATATAATCTTTACTACCATACATAAATAATAAGAACTTTGTCTTTCAATTTAAAATATAGAATAATAATAATATTTGAATTTATTAGAAAATGCTTAGATTGGCATTTTCTAAGTTTTAGATTATATCCAAAAAGTATAGATGATTGCTTAATGCTCAAACAATTATATATATATATATATATAAAGATACTTCTATTGATAATTGATATATTCGAAACATACATAAAATATTTCAAAATAAGAGACCAGCTTAACTAATTAAATAATTCAATTAATTACTGTTTTCTCCATAATTGAATGATCCCTGTACATGCCATAACTGAGTTACATACCATTAACATATATTATCTTGGTGATAAAACCCAGCACCATCTAATTAATAATTATAATCTAATACCTTGCAATCAGGGTTCCTGTTAATGTAATAACTGATTACTAAACAGGGTTAATTGTTTCAATAGGCTTTTTGATCATGTCATTTATATTTGCTATAGATATTCCCCATTTGGCTAAAGGGCAATAAAAGAAGATTGTAAAAGGTCCTTTTTCAGCCTAAAACCATCTAATCATAAATTATGGCCAAAATGTCTAGGCACATACAAAGGCTTATAACTATCTTATGGGACCCATTAAATATAAATAATTATTATTAAAATCTTATTTCATTTACATTGTTAAACAATTAAATTTTATGTATGTAACAATATTAAATATGAAAAAGAATTATAATATTTATTACATAGAATTTTTATATAGCAATAGAGAATGCTATGTATTGAGATTTACAATAAATATCATGAAAATTTAATTTTTGGATATATTGAAGTTAATTCAAATATTATTGTTTCTCAATTAGAAAGTTAAAGTTAGGATATAAATATTATTAGAGTTTTTCCTTATAATCCTACTTATACCTATAGAATAATATAATAATTCAATAGCAATATCTAAAAATTATTTTGAATGCATCATTCAATAAATATAAGGTTGGTTTTTTTACAGTGAAAGAATATTTGAAAAAAACAACTTAGAGGTTATATATGACAAATTACATCATCAAATTAAGTGATTTTATATATAAATTTTAATTTGTTAGTTAACATTTTAATTAATGTTAGTTTATATAATCCAAAAAAAACTGAACGAATTAATTTTATCTATTCGAAGTTTAATTCATTACTTTTTTTTAATATAAACAGAATTTAATGTTTATTTGTTATAGAACTATATATTTAAATATGTATATAAATATTGGAGGTTTGTATTCATTGAAAATTAGAACCAATTCAAGAATAAATAATCTGATATCGACTTTGTTGTCCTAAATAATTCCTAACAATGAAACTATAGAATCTATTTTTAACATGATTTTCCTTAAAATATAATAACAGTTTATATACAGGTCTTCCAACAAGTAAATTAGAAATTTATGTCCATTTCGGTCCATTTGTAACAAAATAATTTAAAATAAACATATCCTCCTCATAACTCCATGGGTCTCTGCTGATTGATTCGTCCAATTTATTTATATAATGATCACGAACCTATTTACCAGTTATGTTACCAAGGACTATAAATAATATAACAGATACAGTTACATTTGGCTATTTTCACCCATTTCCTACCTAATTTTGATACCAATTGTTTCAATTAATCATCTTCTTATTAAGTCCAAATATGTTTTATCTATATTGTAATAAATGAAAGATTATACATATTTTGATGGATTTATTCTTCTCCATCTTTATTGACATTGTGATGCATTCCTTTATGGCATGCATTTAGCAATTTCTATCCATTTTCCTTGATATAGATTAAATAGATATTTTAATTTTTAATCTTCTTCATCATTCCAAACTTTCTGTTTAATTTTGCTCCTATCCTAATTTTTGTAATTAGAATAAGTCTTCTCCTCTTTAAGTAGCATTAAAGATGATACTTAATCTCTATTTTTTTAAATTGGTTCATCGGTAAAAAATGACACTATGTAGTAAAATAAAGAAAATTTGGTACAATGAAAATTTGATTCTTAATCATGGATCGATTGTTAATCCATAGTTTTAGGAGAATGAAGATCAAAAACAGAAATCTCTTTCTCTAAGTAACTAGACTCTTGAACGATATTCTAAAACATTTATATTTAATTGCGTTTATTGTTCTGTAAATTAGATTTATATGAATAAAAAAAAAATTTATTTAAGCAAATAAACTGAAACTTAATAATTAAATAAAATATATGCTATGAATATAACTCATTTGATAATGTGTTACAAAAAAGTTTAAATATTTTATCAGCATCAAAATATTTGTCTTATCTTTTGACTTTAAAATAAAGATCTAAAATTATATTTGATGAAATAAATAAATAATTATTATTACTTAATAATAATTTCAATAATATTTATTTATTTTTTTTTATATATATACAATTATTATATCTGAAAATAGAACTCACATTTTTTTGTAAGTCGTTCATCAGTAAACAAGTGTCAGTAACTCTGCAGTTAATTTTCTAAATTCAAAATTTTTTAATGTAACTTCTATTATTTTTTAGTATGATAAATTTATTGGACAAAAAATATAAATTAACAATTACTTTAAATGAATCGATCGCACACGATTTACTCTATTCTTCTTTTTAAAAAATCTTTATTTTATATATTAATTTATATCATTTGTAACTATATTATATATTGAAATCAAGATCCATATTAGTTAATTCACTTAATTATTTGAATAAAATTTAACATGAATCTCTAAGAGCATATTAATAATTTTACATCATCTCTGAATCTTTGACAGATAAATTTGGATATACAATACTTAGATTCTTAGGAGTAGTTTCAGATTCTATATAGAGATATATATAATTATTACTTGGGGTGTTATTTGAGAATGGAGTCAAGAAATTTAATTATCTTGAGACAGGATCTCTTTTAAGTAATTTTTCAGGAGTTTTATAATACATTATTCTCCTCTAAACTTATCTTCTTGGAACTCCTTTAATTTGTGTCTCATCCTATATAGGTAAGATTTATAGATCTTCCCATCTATTTTACATTTTCAATCTTCTTTTTAAAGTACTATTCCAATGATTTTTAATTGAATTGTCAGTTCTTCCTTTCAATAAACCTGCTATTAATGACCATCGGTTTCCTAATTTCTTATGTGCCTCAATTATAGTTTAATCTTCTTCATCAGTCCATCTTTCTTTATTGATTTTTGGATCTAAATGATTATGGAATCTACATTAATTCTGAATTAAATACCTCTCTCTACATTACTTACCAATCCTACCAGGTAAATGTTTTGCAATTTGACTCCAATTTTTTGGCCCATAATTTGTTACTAATTTAACTAATAATTCGTCTTCTTCTTATGTCCAAGGACCCTTAACAAGATCAGGATTTAGAACTTTTTGCCATCTATGTAAACATTAGACATCTGTTCTTTCTTCAAAATAAGATGCTATTTTCTTCCAATTTTTAGCACCATGTTGTGTGACTAATTCTTTCAGTTATTAATCTTCTTCTTCTGTCCACCATCTATCTAATTAATATCATTTATACCTCTTCTTAATAGTCAAAGGAGGGTCGATATTATTACTATTTAGAAGAGTTTCAACTTTTGTTTTAATTTCATTTATTTTATTTCTATTCTTCTTTGGGATTAAGTTATTTAATTAAGCATAGTCAAATCTATGGTATGAAATTGATGGATCTTTATCCTCTTTCATTAATTACAGAATATTAGATTTTAGTGTTAATATTTTTAGTTATTGGGGAGATGGTGAAGTATTAGCAAGTATAAAGTCCATATCAATTGGATTTTATTAGAGTAGATCTTGCAAAAAAGTAATACACATATTCTTTTCCATCATAGGTAAAGTATATCCATTGAGTTCAAATTGAGTGATTAATTGGTGGGTACCTCTCATTAAACAAATAAAAAAATTAATTAAAAGATAAGAGAGTAGTGTTTTTTAACGAATTTGATAAAATTTATTAATAAATAACCAACAATTAAATTATCTAACAAATAACATAGATTTCAAAAATATATAATTTATATAAATCAGTCTTCTCATATAATTAATTTATAGCTTTGAAATTTTTATATAAATTATTCTAATTGATAAATTAAAATCAATTGAATATTTAATTGTAATTTTCATGATTTTATTATATATATTATCAATTATCTGCATATTGTTAATAGGTATATAAAGATAAATACAATCTTGTTATAATAAAAATTCCCATAATAAATAAATTATAAATTATTTCAAAAATATAAAGTTAACTTAATTAAATTATCTAATGATGAGAATTTCTGATTTTAATGATAAATGATTAATAAATCGATTAGTCTTTTCTGAACCATATATATATTTCAAGCATTTTTATTTGCAAATTTGATTATATTTGCTAAGTTTGAATCTTCAAATAATTGAAATAAATAAATTAATTATGCTTTTTGAACCTGATATAATGAATAGGTATCAGCAATTTTCAACCTATTAAACATAAAATGTAAGGGTGATGGAAATTCTTAACACTGCACTTTTTGAAAGAGCATTATTGGAAGGCTCATATGCCTAAAGCTTAGATCAATTAGCTAAAATATTAGATCTTACAGAAGATGGAATAATAAATGATGACATAATAGATATAGTCTAAGCTTATAGAAGTGTAATTTTATGTGAAAAAGAATAAGCTGAATATTTAAAGGAATCTTATAAAAATGATGCTTTGGTTATATTAAAAGACTTGCTAGCTAAATAGTAAGATGGATTTTCTAAAATGGAGTATTATTGCAGGCAATTAGATAAATAATTGAAATCTAATGTGAATAATTTATCTAGAAGGGCAAATCGTTATAAATAAAGCATTATTGATTTACCTTATGCTAAAACAGATTCTATTAGGACAGCTTTAGAATAAGAAAAATAATAAAACAGCATCTTTTTAAGATAAGCTATAACAGATTACAATTAAACAATAAGTGAATACTTTGAAGGATGTGCTTAATAAGAGTAGACAGTGATTTAATTAGATAAATAAAGAAGAGCTGTTTTTAATGATATTCATATGAAATTGCAAGTATTTCATGTTTCAACTATAAAAAATGTAGAATATGCACTTAAAAAAATGAATTAAGTAATTATGTATAAAAGAATAGAAAATAGAATCACAAGAATTATCAAAACCTATTTTTATGTTTAAAATAGAAGATTAGACAAGACCAGTTTTAAATAAATTTAATATAAATGATTATATGATGTAAACAGAAATGGAAATTAGGAATTAATAACCATCTTTAAATTTAAAATCAAAATAAGCTACATAAGGTAATATGATAATTAAATTTAAGAGATAAAATCATTATGGTCATCAATTAAAAGAACTATAAATCGTGATAGCTCTTACGATACAGTTTTTAATTATTTGAGTTAATCAAATTTTGTAGTTAATGATTAATTATTTTAAAAATTAGCAGGATCAAATGAAGAATTAGATTAATTTTTAGATTCATTAAGAGAATCTAAATTACCAATAGATGCAAAATCATAATTGATAAAGCTAAACATTTATATGCAAAATCTTCATAAATTATTAGTAGATTTAATACATTATGTAAATGATTTTAAGACATTTAGTTATATCATAGAAATTTAACTGAGTAGACAATAAAGTTAATAAAGTAAACATTATTAAAATATTAAACATTCCCAGTATAAGATGATTTAAAAGATTAAATAACATTATATTATGATAACATATTGAAATAACCATGTTTAATGGATGTTGAATTTTGGAAGAGACACTTTATAATTAAACTTCATGAATAATAATAGGTTGATTCATAAAATGAAGTAAAGAGACATGAAATAATTGCTGAAATTAAATTTTAATCTTCAAAACTCCTTTAACATAGTATAAATGCTAGTGTCATAATTCAAGCAGTGTAGAAATTAGAATTAGAATAAGATGAGATTGATTAAATAATAAATCATATCAAAATGAAGGTTGATGAAAAATGAGAATAATTTAAAATAAAATTATATCGTTTTTAATATGAATAAACTTATCATTGGATGATTGCTAAAAAGACTGCCAATGAAGCTAATAGATAAGGACTGCTTGAATCTTCTGATTCATCTTCACAAGCAACACAAGCATCATTACTCCAATAATATCCTCCGTCTGTATTCTTTGAACAAGTGTCTTGAGTATAATCTGCTACATCACTTCTATCTCCACAAGTGTTTGCTGTCTTATCCCATTTACATAATGTTTAAGCACCGAAGATACCATCATTAGCTACTGTACATGTAGATTCAGTTGTAAAGGAAGAGCATGTGACTGCTTTGCATGCAGTTCCAGATGCATCACATCCTAAATCTGCACATACGTCCATAGGAATTCCTGAGCATGATTCCATATTAAACTTATCACATTTATTTGTAGCTGCGTTTACCCAGCAGAAATTTTATTCATCTACAAAATTATTGCTACAGGCAGTAACTGCTAAAGCTGCACAATCTGTGACAGGTGTATAGGTTGAACATGTATATTTTCCATTTGCATTTGCAGTTAAAGAGGCAGAACAATTTCCTTTTTGAATCATACATAAAATTGGTTTAGCAGCTTCATAAGTTGAGCAAGCTTATTTGTCTTCACAAACTCCAGCATTATTTAAAGAACAAACATCAAGTGTATCACAAACAGTTGTTGCAACATCTTTACATGGTTTTACTCCACAAGCAGTTCCCCAAACACAATCAACAACATTGTTGCATTCAGTTTAGCTTGTGAATTCTGTACAATCACACCAGAAATTTGCTGTTAATGCTCCATATGTGCCAAAGGCCAATAATGTGATGAAAAGGAATCTTTACATTAATTTTATTAATCAAACTTTAGAAATATCATTTGGCTTTTGAATTATGACAGGTAAATCACTTTATTAATTAACTGAATATTAAAACCAGTGTTTAATTATAAAAGTACATTAGGTATTTAAATAATCTTAAATATTATAATGAATTTAAAATGCCCTGTTTTTATCTTTTGTTATTCACCTAAACTTGATTATATATTGAAGATACAATACTATCTTATTTAATTATGTTTATTCTAAATTAAACAAGTTTTCTTCATTTATACTAATAAACCCTACTTCTTCATTAAAAATATTCATTAAAACTGTGTAAAATACCTAGAATTTAAAGTCTATTTAAATTACATATATAATAAGAGAAGACTTGAATGAATATAGAAAATACAGCATCAATCATATAAATATATAAAAACAGTATTATAAGCTTTTGACTCACAACCTAAAATAAGTTCAGTTCAATTTTAAGTTTTAAATTTTAGAATTGGCGCTTTGATTTTTCTTCAATTAAGTTAATATTTAATATACCTATTCTGCTTATGCATTAGATCATTATTTATATCTTTAAAATCTTCACCTATCTAAAAATCAATTATTATTATGAAAAACAAAATTAGACCATTTACTTACTATAGAAAAGAATCTTTTTTATAGGAATTTTAATCAAGAATTATTTATGATAAAAAAATTAAAGATAGGCTTTCCTATCTAAATAGAAATATTAGTTTTAATAATAATGTAGTTATTATTTATAAATGAAAATATATAAAAATATAAATTTAAGATATACGATTTAAGATTAATGAAATGAATTTATAAAAGCATAGCAAAACATAGTATTAAGATATGGAATGATGAGTTAAAATAATTATTAAGCTATGTATTCCTTTTATGATTAGTTTAAATTAAATTCTGAATGAAACAATATTTGGTGAAATTTATAAGGATTTAAATCTATGTGAAAAATTATGATATAGAAATAATACAATTATATTGAATATTCTATAAAATAACATATAATCATTTTAGTAAGAAAACTCTTAATCAAAACATGAAAATTATGGCCATAAGATAAATTGTATAAGAAAGTGATCTGTGTTAAATCTATTGTAAAAATGATTATGATGTACTAGTATTGGTAGAAAGTAATATAATGAAATTAGAAAAGAAAAATCATATGATTAATTACAAAATTTAATTATAAAAAAATTATTACTTGATCATTTTTTGCTCTCCTATTGATTATTAATGAAAATGATATAAAACTTTTAATGGATTTATCAGTTACCTGATTACGAGTATGGTCGACAAGTGCATGCTAATTAAAACTTTATTATATCAGAAACTTGGACCAATCTATTATTTTGAATATAATGAGATCAAATTATCATAAAACAAATTAGTTGATTTAAAACCATAATAAATTAATTATTAATTATCAAATTTAATCTATTGATGTAACCTTCATATCATCTTGGGTAATAATGAATAAAAATATTTATAATTTACTTTTGTAAATATAATTTTATAATGATATAAATATATATATATTTTCTGAATTATAAATTAATCAGACTTAATAGGTTCCTGTTAAGGTAGCCTTTGCTTAATTAGCTGAAGGGTTCCAAGGGCTTAAATATATTTATAAAATATATATACCAAATGTAAAGGTATACATCATATGTTTAATATGACCCTTATCCATTTGAATACAACAATTTAATATTGTAGTTTGTTCCAGATACGATTTATGTTTAGACTTCCATAACCTTGTCAAATTCATATCCCTATTATTCAGGGTTGTATTATTGAGCAACTACAAGGTTGGCTTAATTGATAATGTTGTCATTGCTTTGTTCAAAGACTTCTGGATTAATCTAATTAATATTATTTTTAATTCTTACATTCTCCCATGTTCCAGTTGAAGAGCTATTTGATTAATCTTATCTTCTGACTTTCAATCTTAATGAGCTTCGTTTAGTTTTGTATAATTTTTGTTAATTGTCATTTTCATTATTGATGGTTTGAGTTTATGAGAATGAAGCTGATTATCCATTTATTTATTCACATTTAGTGATTTAATCTTATCCATTCCATGGGCTACATAAATTAATAATAAATACGCTGAGTAAATGATAACATCATATTATTAGATTGATCCCTCCTCATTTTCATACTGTAATACTATATTTTAATTGGTTCCAGCAACTACTTGGGTTTGAACAGAAACAACTTATTAAAACTCATAACCTTATTCTTCTGGTTGATACTTATTTTAAACTGCTACTTAAGCCTCATTGATACTGTTTGAGTTGGTGGCTTTGAAGATTGTAGTATTTTGCTAGTATATTATTAGTTTTTACTTTTTTCCATCCTCCTGTCTGGGCACTTACTAATGCAAGTAATAGAACTAATGTGATTTAAATTTTCATTTTAGTTCAAATAATATCTTTAATTAATATTTATGCTTTTATCAAATTAAAGAGCTTAAAATATTTTATTTTTTTAATAATTTTCATATTTAATCAGTTATCTTTTACTTAAAATATTTATTAATTTATTTAATTTGAAAATAAAATATATAAACTAACTAATGCTAATATAATATACTTATTACGTAAATACATAATATTAAAATAGTATAAAATTAATTTTAATATATATTATTTTTGGCATAATGATAGGATAAAATTCTTGAATTAGAAATTGACCTAATCAGAAGTTATTTTATACATGATTTTAAATTAGGAGGCTTTTTTAAGTTTTGTCAATGTTATTAATTGTTATGTAAATTAATTGCAATTATTTGAGATTACAATGTGGTTCTGCTTATTAGAAGGATTATAGCAAAAGAAATCATCCAATCCTTTTATTCACTTAACTATGATAAAAGTAAAATAATTATAAAAAAGAAGACCAAATTTAATTCTTTTTAAGTTCATTATATTCTTACTATTATCATAATTTAATTCATATATTCTAATTCATAAACAAGCTGCCAAACTTCTTAAAATTATGATTAGATAAATAAACATATTCATTTTCTAATTTATTAAATCTTAATAGGACATTAAAAAAAAAATAGTTTACTCTTTATAAATAGTAAGATAATTAAAATCTTTATTTATCTAATAATTATCATTTAGTTATAATTTTGATTAGATTGATACATAAATTAGAATTAATCACTTGAATAATTATTGAGAAGTAATCATTTAAACTATGGCATTTGGTGAGGCTTAGTTTAGTTTACTTTCACTGCTTGATGGATAGGATTGTTAAATCTTAAATGTAATTTTAATGGTTTACTAAATATTGTCTAAAGTAGAATCATCTTTTTATTCAAAAATCACTTAATTAAAAAATGGATGCTATAAGCATTACATAGCAGAAGGTCTTAATTTAGGATCCTTTTAAAGCATCTGTAAAACTAAATCACAAGCCAAAGGATTTTTTGTTTTAATAAGATCTAAGTGAGTCAAATCATAGTCAACAGCTATATTTTTTAAAAGCAATGTTTATGGGTTTTTAGAAGACCCAAAAGGATTCTTCAATGTTAATCTATAAATTTAATAAATAAATTACAAATTAAAGAACATTACACCACAACTAAATATGTCAGCCTTAGTATCATATATGTTTTATGTGAAAACCTCAGGAGCTGTGTAACCAGGTGTTCCACATCTAATGATATAAATATTATATCATTATACCTTGTATTATAATAAGAAATCTAAGACTTATGACAAGCCAATCCAAAATCTGCTAACACAAGACTGCTGACATCATTAGGTATTCTTAATAATACATTTTAAAGTTTAATATCTCGATGCAATATATCCAATGAATGAAGGTGTTAAACAACTAATATAATGATTTTATTTATATATACCGTTTAATAATTTTTTCATCACCAATTAATGGTTGATATTGTGGTTATTTTGGTTTAAATACTTAAGAAAGTCACCACCAGGACAGAATTCAAGTAGTATTGATAAAGAATTATCATCACATGAAATCTCCTCCAATTATATTATATTTGGATGAGGATGATCCCTTAGGTTGTTAAGAATCATTTACTCCTACTTTATTTATTCCTTGTGATTATAAGTGTTTTTAATATACGAAACGTGTAAAATTTGAATTGTCGCTAGAAATATGCGGAAAGTATGCCATCTTCTCGACCATATAGTTATTAGTTCCTTCTATCTATAATAAAACTAGCATAAAAATCATCTGGTACAAATATTATTGGCAATACTATTGATTCTTTTAAAACAAGGCCTTCTTTTGAACAGTACTTTACCACGGAGAAGACGCTCTAAATTCTGTAAATTCCATAATTCAATGTCTATAGTAACCTTAATGTTTCGGTCTATGCTTTCTAAATCCATTGTTCCTGTTTTGTTGACTTAAAATTAGTAATTAAATATACCTTCGTTAATAGAGCGAAACCATGTTAGTATACTGTCAATAGTCCCACGCGGGATGAAAGCTATTTAAGAATCTGTACTTGTCATCTATTTAAGTTGATTTGGTTTTTACTTTTATGGTTAACCCTAATGGAGATGCATTCAGGGAAACTTAGTGTTTAGATTAATCATTTGCAATCAAGAATCCTTGACAATTAAAAAGCATAAAGGTAAAAATGTTAAAAATATTTAAGTAATTTAAAATATCAAATTTTGTTACTATTTATAATGACCCCTATGAGCAGTATCATTTATAGAAGCCTTATTCAATAACCCGTATTAAATTATAATTATATTTAATTATCTCAACATAAAATTATAATCTTAAGAATCAGAAAAAGTTGATTAAATTATATAAATAGAAATATGTTAAGAGGAGATCTTTTTTCTATTTTATTTTATTTCAAAATTCTCAAAAAATTATTATTGAAAAATAAAATTTTAACCTTCAGATCTAATTATTGATCAACAAACTCTAACATAGAATATTAATAAATTTCATTGAATTATTTTTATAGAAAATTAATTATATTTGATGGGAAATTCTATTAATTGTGATTAAATTTTTCATTTTTTAATGAAATATATAATATTGAAAATTTAGATAGAATTGATGAAATTATTAAAATTTGCTTTTATCATAATTAAAGCCAAAGAAGATTATCATATATAAGAACTTTTTGTGATAATGTTTGTTATATTGATATCAATTAGCAATTTAACTATTATTAAATTAATCATGGTTATATGGATTTGAAACTAAAATTAAAAATATAAGATATATTTAATTTATTCTAATTAATAAAACTAATTATCTTTTAGAATAATAATATCTAAAAATAACCACTTAAATATAATTATAAAATATTGAATTATTAAATCATTATTATTATTATAATAATTCTTTTATCTTTTAATTAGCCTATTTTTCTGCATAATCCAAAGCGCTATTGCCATCTATATTAAAATATTATAATACATTTATCTTTGAGTGTTTTATCGGCATTTTCTGATAATAAATACTTTACAATAAGAAAATGACTCCCTCTTGTAGCTAATATCAAAGGTGTAAATTTATTTCCATAACTTTATTCATTTATTGGATGATTTAATGTCACTAACTTTCTAACTGTATCTAAGTCTCCATCTCTAGCAGCACTCCATAATGCTAAATTTAAAATTAAATAAAACTCTTAAATGCAAACTTGACTTCAGAATCAGTAGTCATCTAATCAGCTGTTTATCCTTTACTTGTTCTCATTGCACAATATCGATCTTCGTCAGCATCATACCTACTTAATAAATGAACAACATTTCTATTTTAATAAAATGATGCATAATGCAAAGGAGTCCAATCTCTTTTATCAACTGAATATATATTTGCTCCTGATTCAAATAACACTTTGACAACTTAATCATGACCTTTTTTGGCTGCTAAATGCATAGGAGTGCAATTTTGATTATCCTAAAAATCGATAAAACTTTCTTAATTAGCCACTCCTTTCTCTATTAATAATTAAACAGCCATAGCTTAATTATTTAGAGCTGCTACATGTATTGGATAGTATCCTTTATTAGATGATATTTATTGATAAGCTCCTCTTTCTATTAAAGTACTTATGGCCCATAATTCCCCATAAAAAGCAGCATGATGTAATGGAGTCCATCCATTTGTGTCTATAACATTTACATCAGCATCCATTTCTAAAACTTTGTTTAACATAGTTTTATTAGATGATTTATGAGTTTATTCAATAGCCTTATGAACAGGAGTTATTCCATAAATTGTTGATTTTCCATTAACTCTTTATCCACAATTTACTAATAATGTAAAACTCTTATCATCTCCTTCTTTTACTGCATTATTGAGATCCATTAAATATTTTCTTACAGAATCATTTGATGCATATTCCAAAGGAGTTCTAATTTTTCGTTTGCATTTGATTTTTGGATCTGCTCCCAATTATAACATAAATTGAATAGCTGCAAAATCCCCTGCAAAAGAGGCTAAATGCATAGGTGTCTTAAATTATAATTAATATTACATATCCATCTCTATCTTATTAATTAACAATTTCTTTTTATAGTTTCTTAATATTAGACATAAAATTAGTTTGTTTTTATTAAAGAAGTTATTAATTTAAGAAATTACATATCATTTCACGATAATTTTTATATTATCTTGGATCAATCTTATTATCTGAAGTTTACACTAATAATTATATTTCCATAAATATATCATAAAATAAATCCCATCCTTAAGATTCAAAATCAAATTATGCCAATTATTTAATACATTAAAAACATTTAGTATATTTAGATAAACTGCCATAATGTATTGGATTTCTTTAAAATTAATCAATAGTAGCATTCACTCTATTAAAATATTATAGATTTTAATCTAAAAATTATTAATATTATTCACTAACAATTGTTTAAAATTATTAGAATCTTTATTGAACTTATTTTAAATGTTTATCTGCATTAATTAATTATCCTTTTTATGAGTCAGATTTTTTAAATTAATACTTTTTCATTGTTATTTTTAATTCTTCCCATTTCAATATATTTTATCTATGTCTAAACATTTAAAAGAGTATTTAAAGACATTCAAAATGACCTCTTTAAGCACAAACATGAAATACATTAAACCCTGATTTAGATGTTAGAAATGGATCTGCTCCTTTCACAAGTAAATACATGACTATATTTTTGAAGTTATAATAACTATATATAATAATTAAATACCATGCATAAAATAATGGTGTTTTACCTTCTGAATCTTTTGAATTTATTATTTCCTCGACATTATTGAATTAATGCATCCAATTCTCTAATGAAGTCAATTTTCCATCAATTACGAAGGAAAAGATTTCTTGCTCTTTTTATTTATTATTGGCAATATTAAAAATTAATGATTAAGTGAGAAGATCTTTGTCTTAATCCATTAGAAAATGTTCTCGATTATTTAATATAAATTTATATATAATGTCTGTTATATAATTAATAAATAATTTAATACTATGTAATCATTCACATAATTGAATTCAATATATTCTTTTGAATCTTAAACATATTTTCATTCAATTTTAATTGTTTACTTTAATTAATTCTTGATACATAACTAATTGAAACTCAATTGTCAACTTACTGATTATTATAAAAATACCAATTTTAAAGTTTTAAGGGGATTATTAAGAAATTATATATTAATTATTTGATCCAAAATTCTATAAGCATAACTAACACTTTATCAAACTTAATTTTAGAAATAAGACTTACATTTTCGATAAAACATAAGATGATGTATAAAATTTTTTCTATTCGCTTTCATTAAATAGATTGATATTAATATTAATAAACTAGTAATTCATAATTTTTAAGCATATTGGAAATACTTAAATTTCAAATGAATTAGTTTTTGTAATAAGATAGATTGTAGTAAAAATTAAATAATTATAATAATTTTATGTCATATAGAGAACTTCGTAACTTCTGTGAATAAATGAGAGCTTTGGGTTATCATAGGATAATTTCAATGGAAAACTTTAGAAGACCTAATTTTGAGCTTGTAGCTGATATTCTTTTTTGGCTAGCTTAAAAGTATGATCCAATATCAGATATTTCTGATAATATTGATGAGGAAGTAAATATGATATTAAAAAGTCAGAGACATAGAGTAGAATTTATTAAGCAAATAACAACTCTATTTGTTAGTAAGGCAAGGATTAAGATAAACCCAAAGAGATTGTATATGGCAGATGTTTATGCAGTTTAAGAAATTTTGAAAATTTCAACATTCTTATATAAAGCTTAAGTGTCTCCACCTGCTGATGAAGAAGAGATTCATGATTTTGTAAATATATCTATGAGTATTGAAAGTCCCTCCCATCTAAATTAAGTAATATAAAGAGTCATAAGTTATTGGCTCAAGAAATTACTGATCTTGCCACAAGATTATATGATTAATTAGGAAAAGAAGATGAAGTGAAAGCAGCAAGAGTAAGAATATTTTGATAATCTATAGGAAAAAGCATTACAATTTTTATCAAATGTTTCCAGAGGTGGAAATTCATAATCTGAATAATCTTACATATAAAAATGCATATAAACAATATTGAAATAATAAGAGTAAAATATTTCAGAGATGTCTAAATATGTGGGTAATTTAGAGAGGGAACAAAAATAATTAGAGGAAAAAATAAAGAGAAAAACAAAAGAATTAGAATAAGCAGAGAAAAGATTAAAGGGTATGACAAGTGTTAAGCCAGCTTATTAAGAAGAATATGATAGATAAGAATATGAATTAGAAAAATTATATTAAGTAATAGGATTTTTAATTATTTAGATTTATGTAGAGAAATTTAGAAATCTTGTGTATTTAGAACATGTTTTAGATGTACAAAATAAGTAGGCTGAAATGGAATAAAAGAAGAAGAATTAAAATCTCAAAAGAGTAGAAGAAGTAATTAAAGATGCAGAAATGAATGAAATAAGAGGAGATGATGATGGAAATGATGATTAGTTAGATTAATTGGGAGGAGATTCTCGATTATAATCAAGTAATAAGGAGAAACGTAATAATGATTTTATGAGAAATTAATAAGGTGGGTTCAATAGATAATAAATGGATGATGATGTTGGAGAAGGAGATGATATTGATGATTTAGATGAAGGACTAGATGAAGATGAAGAAGAAGAGGAAGAAGATGATGGAATTGAAAATTTAGATGATGATAATGAAGCCTTTTGAAATAAATTAATCCATTATATGTATAAATATTATTAAAAATGGGAGTATGTTCAAATAAGAGTAAAGGTTTGAATCATTAAGAAGATGTACATAATTATACTAAATAGATTAGTAATATTTACATTTATTGGATATTAAAAATCCTGCCAATGTGAATTAGAAATATTCCAAATATTTTACATTAATTGAAAATTAATATACTGGTATTGGAATTAGACTTACTAATCAATATACAACTAATTTATCAAAAAAAGAATGGGAAATGATGCAAAATTAATTTTGGGGTAGAGTAATGAAGTCATATAAAGATAGTTATAAAGATTCAATATATTGGTAAAACATACACAAAGCTTTATCATAAGATGATTAAAGTATGTCTCAACTTTAAAATGTAGAATCTTCTATTGCCATATTGACATTATGCAAATTAAAACTGATTAGCAATTCAATTCAATTATTAATTTCAGATAGTATAAATATTATTATTTATCAAGAACAAGTATTTTAAGTTCCAGTATTTATTATAAATAAACCAATTTCTTGGAATAATGAACTTTTGGTTTTAGATTTTGAATCATCTTCTTTGAAAGTAATCTTTAAGAATATTTAGGTGAGGATACGTAGTAGTAAACTCCCTAAAGATTTTTTAATTTAAACATAAAGTACTTCAACTGTTCTTGAAATTAAATAGAAAATATTAGAGGTAGCGAAAGAAAATAGTTGCAGATTATATTTGAATGGTAGAGAGTTAATAGATCAAAATTAATTAGGAAATTATAATATTACTTCAGGAACAGTACTAAAAATAAATAAGTTAGATAATACAAGCTTTTTTGTGATTATATTTTTAAAAAATGGTTGGTATTATTTTATATTATGCATAAACAAAAAGCCTAGATTCTTTTCAAATGTCATCATTAACACTAGAGACCAGAATATGAAGATTCTGCTTTTACAATTACTAAAATTATAGAAATCAATAATTCTACATCAATTTTTGAATTAATCTTAGAAAACTGTAATTTCATCATGGATAATAACTTTTGTATCTAAATATCATCGTATTTTATTTTCATTATCATAGATTATAATCATTAATATACTTAGGTTTGAATAATTGCAATATTGTGTCTTTGTAATATATTCCAAAAATTGAATCATTAAAGCGATTAACATTGGATTACAATTTTATTCACAATTCTGAACTAATCAACTTAAAATTTTACTAAGATAAACTATTATCCTTATCTATAATTTAAAATCAACTAGATTTCTCAGATTAATCATTATTGGCAGAATTCTATTTATTTAAGAAACTAATTCAATTATCAATTGCTGGAAATTATAAAGATATAACTGAATAAGAGAGTATAATGATTAGAAAGGATATATTTAATAACATGAAAAACTTAGTATTTTTAGATACAATTGCTAAAGGAGAATGTAAATTATCTTATACTAATTTTAGTTCTTTCGACTTGTATTCAAAATTAATTTAGTGATTAAAAATAAGAACAGGATTATTTATCAAGAATAGATGTTGTTGATTGGTAATTTGAAAAAGAATATAAATAATTTGATTAATGAATCATATAAAATAATATAAAAAAATATAGATGCTCTAATATTATTATGTTATCATATTATGAAGATTTTATATTCTCCAAGATTTAGTAAAATATTTGAACTCTTTATTTTTAGAGAGTCAATAAATAACTTAATTTTCAAAATACTTAAACCTAAGAGCGATTATTTATGAATTAGTAAGTATAGTAAATAAATAACAATATAAATAAAAATGAGTAATTTTATTAGTTATGGTCTATTAAAATCAAATATTTGAACTATTTTTAAGAGATATACTAACTTAAAATTAATACTCAATAATTTTGGATAACATAATTTTATTAATTTAGTTACATAAAAAGACCATTAAAATTATTAATTAAAAAATCTTTCTCCATATCTTGATGCATTTGTAAAAAGATTATGCTATATCTCTTCCTGTACACTAAACTGCTGTTATCAATTTAATTAGATTTTTGAAAAATCTATATGTAAATATTCTTGTTTTATAATAGTATTTAATATTTCAAATTATATGTTGTTAAGTAATATATTTCAAGTTTTAATATGCAAAAACTTAATGAATGATATTAATAAATAACTTTTAAAAATATTAAACGAATGAACAAATCAACACTTCTTCTGCTAATTTGCCTATCCTTAATCACTGCTTTACCAAAATCAAGGAAATTGAACTAAAATACAAAAAGAAAATTAGATGAATCTCCAATTGACATATCAGGTACTTGGGAACCCTTAAGAATAAAATTTGAATATGTAACAGATGCTGATGTTGAAACTAAAGAATTTTTGGATAAGATTTTCTCAATATCTGGTACCTTTTTGTCAAAATACCTTTTGATAAGAAGAAGTTCAGATAAAATATAATTACCTTAAGATGCACCAACCTAATTTTAGGAATTTTTTGAAATGGGTAATGAGTTGTTATCTGTAGAGTATGATGCTGACCTTGTAACAAATTTTATTTATTTTTATAGGTTTTTTTTGTGACTACAATGGATGATAGTAATGATAGTACATTAGCCTTTTGTGCTCCAATTATTTTTGATGATAAGACTTAAAGACCAATATTTGGTGCCATAGGATGGAATATGGCATATAGTGAAGTAAGTACACTAACTAATGCTGGATTTGAATCATAATTAGCAACAGCAGTCCATGAAATTATACATGGACTTGGATTTGTAGAGGATCTTTTTAATAAATTTTATGATTCTGTAACAGGTGAAGTATATCCAGATGGAGGCATGGTATAAGAGGATGATGTTGTGAAAATCATAACCCCTAGAGTTGTGGCATTTGCAAGAAAACATTTTGGATGTGAAGATATTACAGGAGTACCTATGGAATAGGAAGGAGGAGATGGAACAGCTGGATCTCATTGGGAAAGAACATTATTCTACAATGAAATGATGACAGGAAATGATATGGTAAGTGATTTTGTTTTAACTGACTTCACTTTTCAATTATTATAAGATACTGGATATTATAGATTAGCTGAATATAGTCCTGATATATTAACATGGGGAGAAGGACAAGGATGTAGTTTTTATGATTAAATGTGTGAATCCGAATTTCCAGAATTTTGTAGTGATGAAGGAAGTACAGGATGTGCTATTACTCATAATGGTATTGGTGTTTGTTCTAGTGATGATCTATCTAATTCTTGTAAATATTATTAGATAGATCCTAATTTGGATTGTAGAAATGCTAATTCTATTGGATATGCCGATAATGGAGCCACTTTTTAAGATTTTGGCTATCAAAGTATGTGTGTTATTGGTGGCTTTGCAGCAACAAACGGTACTCCTTAAGATTTTAGCTGTTATGAATACAGTTGTGATGGCAAATTTACTATAAAGGTGAATGGATAATCAATAGATTGTTCTTCAGGTGGAGTTAAAACTCTTGAAGGAATGAGTGGTAGTATTACTTGTCCAGAGAATTTTGAATAGTTTTGTAAAAATAAGGATGAATGTCCAAATTAATGCAACAAACGAGGTTTTTGTATGAAAGGTCTATGTACTTGTTATGGAAATTATTATGGATAAGGTTGTGAATTAGAAAATTGCACAAAAATTAGAAAAGGAACTGAATGTGTTGATTCTTGTCCTTCTGGGTATTATCTCAATGACAATATCAATTATTGTATAGGATGTCCAGGAGTAATTATTTTATTTATGTAATTAGAATTGTGCTTCTTGTTCTTCGTATAATGCTTGCACAGAATGTAAAGATGGTTATGAGTTGAGAGGAGGATTTTGCGACTATTTAGAAGAAAGTAGTGATTCTAGTCATATAAAAATTCTAATTCTTGTATTAATTGCTTTAATGTATTGATGTATGATTGAATTTAAATACAAAATATAAACATTAAAATTGAATTCAAGTAAACTTCTTTAGATATAATAATAATTAAGATATTAAGTTATCTTGGTATTCTATGAAAATCCATAATTTCAAATTTTTACTAAATTTATTTTATGTTTCTTTTTTTAATACAAAAAGTTTATATTATTAATATAATATAAAATCGATTAATTATCACATAATGTTACATGAGCAACATTAACCTTTTATTTAAGGTTTACTTATTTCTATTTCTTTCTAAGTTAAAATTGTATAGTATTATGATTCTAACATACTCATATATGCACTTTCTCCCATATAGTTTTTTTATGCACTGTCAGCCAATTACATATGAATGCTTTCTGCCATACCTTTATAAGTATTAATTATTGGCCTTTAGTTAATTTAATGAAATTACCATAAACAAGTTATATTTGGTAATGTTCCTTTATATTTTAACATCAATTAATCTTCATTAATATATTCTTAAAGATAACTTGGGTCTTTACAAAATTGTATCTTTTTTGCAGTTTCAGGATGCATCAGTTCTATAAAATTATCATTTAGAAATTATACTTTCAACTAATTTCCAAGCTGCCACTAAAATAAAAGGTGGATTAAGTAGATGCAATTATTCTAGTGAAGCTGTGTAGTTTGATTAAGTAACATCTATAATTTATTTAATTATCTGTAATAACATATAATTCAATTTTACTTGATGTGGCAATCTAAACAAACTGATATCATTCAAATCTACAATAATTCTCCATTTTTCTACATAGTAAGGTATTAACATAAATTTTTATATATAATTTAATAACACACACATAGCATTAAGTATTGGTGGTAATTATTCCTATTATTTTAATAAATATTTTACAATATTTGTACTTATTTTAGAAACCTATATAAAAATTAATGGTCTAAATTGTTTGTCTCTTCCCAAACTAAAGACTACTCCTTTTTTCTCAAAATAAAATTAATAATATTACTAAGATATCTTCTCCTGCTGATGTTAATTATTGATAATCTGGATTCTATTTCCATTTCAAATAATTTATTAAAGTTTAAAAAGCCATCTCAATATCAAAATTGCCAGAATAACAAAACTTTAATGTAGTTTATTTATCCCATTATTCTGGTAATTAAACTTTTCTTTTTTTAATCAGATCCTCTAATTTTTATATCATTTCTTCTTCAATATCTTCAAATTCAACATTATAAAACACATTTCTTTTTAATTTACCTTCCACTTAATATTTAATATATTCATCTAATTAAATATTTTAGATACCTGAATGTTTTAATTGCATTGCTTATTTAGGAGGCTTAAGATAACTGAAATCCATTAAAATGTATTAAAATAAATAATTGTTAAAAACATAATATAAAATACCAATTTCATTTTATTAAAATAGATACGCAAAAATATTATATTCTTAAAAAGAATGAAAATAATTAATTATATTATTATCCGTATAAAGGAAAATCATTGTTTTGAATTTATTAAGAAAATATTGAATTATTAGTATATAAAAGAATTAACATTTATTTCATGTTTATAAAATATAATAAACTAAGTTCCAAATCTTTTTTATAGACAATGTTAGTCATTGATATTCGTTTTCCATTCTCTCTAAATTATTTTAACTTGGAGTATTCTAATATATTTTGACATTTCTTCCACTATCTTCTATTTTTAATATACTTGGCCTATTCTGATGTCGTTTGATTTTTCTAAAATGTTAATGATATCTATTTATAGTACTTTTTTAATTAGAAACATAATGAACTTACATAGTGTCTTTTGTTAGGTGAATCTGCTTCCATAAGTTCTCCTATAGGGCATGAATTATTAGTTGGATATAAATCATATAAATGTTAAGAATCAGCACTTAATTGGAGGTCATTAATCATATTTAATTTATTTTTAATATCAAATTATCATAGTACAGAATTTCCTATAAAAAATATTAACAATATAATTTGTATTAATTCAATCTGAATCATTGCACCTAATATTTTATATTTGTCAATTAATAATTCATAGATTAACCATATCTATAATTAAATACAATAAGCTATATTATTATTTTATTGTAAATGTCTTATTTATTTTAATAAGATAAGTACTTAACATTCAGTAAATAAAATCAAAGCTAAATTTAATTCTTCTATTTATCATATCGTATAACATAAATCATTTTGATATATATACTCTTATAATAAATCATAAGAAAAATTCTTATAATTTGCTCTCCTATTAAACTTTAACATCTTAGGAAAAATAAAAATAAATCTTAATATACTTTTAAACTTTATTTGTTATGTTTTAATTATTTTTCCCCTTTATTTATTTTATATAATTGGCTTATTATTTACAATAAAATTATTAAGTTTATCAATAATAAATTGAAATTTTAGGCTTATTATTCAAAGTAAACATATGATAATATGAAAAATGACAACAAATATTTTGGATCACAATTAATATAAATTATTGATAAATAAGAAGGGGCTAGAGATAGCCATAAAAATAAAGAGTTGTTTAGGAAAGTAAGTTCAAAAAAGAAAATTATAAAATGAAAAAAAAACAAAAATTCTTGGAAAATCTAATATTATTAAAATATATTAAATTTTCATATTCCTTCAATTTTATTTAACATGTTGATTTTAATAAAACATATTAATAAAATTAGCATCTTAGGACATAAGATTTGATTAATATATATTGATGAAATGGCAAGATTTTGTCATTAAAAAGGTATTATGCATTGAGATGAAAAATCTTAACATATAATTGTAATTCTATAAAAGAAATAATTAAAACAACTGGATTAGCTTAATTGTATTACATAAGATAGATTTAAAATATTAGAGTTTTCTCTCTTATTCTAAGTGTAAGTATTGCTTGTATGTTTANGATGTCGTTTGATTTTTCTAAAATGTTAATGATATCTATTTATAGTACTTTTTTAATTAGAAACATAATGAACTTACATAGTGTCTTTTGTTAGGTGAATCTGCTTCCATAAGTTCTCCTATAGGGCATGAATTATTAGTTGGATATAAATCATATAAATGTTAAGAATCAGCACTTAATTGGAGGTCATTAATCATATTTAATTTATTTTTAATATCAAATTATCATAGTACAGAATTTCCTATAAAAAATATTAACAATATAATTTGTATTAATTCAATCTGAATCATTGCACCTAATATTTTATATTTGTCAATTAATAATTCATAGATTAACCATATCTATAATTAAATACAATAAGCTATATTATTATTTTATTGTAAATGTCTTATTTATTTTAATAAGATAAGTACTTAACATTCAGTAAATAAAATCAAAGCTAAATTTAATTCTTCTATTTATCATATCGTATAACATAAATCATTTTGATATATATACTCTTATAATAAATCATAAGAAAAATTCTTATAATTTGCTCTCCTATTAAACTTTAACATCTTAGGAAAAATAAAAATAAATCTTAATATACTTTTAAACTTTATTTGTTATGTTTTAATTATTTTTCCCCTTTATTTATTTTATATAATTGGCTTATTATTTACAATAAAATTATTAAGTTTATCAATAATAAATTGAAATTTTAGGCTTATTATTCAAAGTAAACATATGATAATATGAAAAATGACAACAAATATTTTGGATCACAATTAATATAAATTATTGATAAATAAGAAGGGGCTAGAGATAGCCATAAAAATAAAGAGTTGTTTAGGAAAGTAAGTTCAAAAAAGAAAATTATAAAATGAAAAAAAAACAAAAATTCTTGGAAAATCTAATATTATTAAAATATATTAAATTTTCATATTCCTTCAATTTTATTTAACATGTTGATTTTAATAAAACATATTAATAAAATTAGCATCTTAGGACATAAGATTTGATTAATATATATTGATGAAATGGCAAGATTTTGTCATTAAAAAGGTATTATGCATTGAGATGAAAAATCTTAACATATAATTGTAATTCTATAAAAGAAATAATTAAAACAACTGGATTAGCTTAATTGTATTACATAAGATAGATTTAAAATATTAGAGTTTTCTCTCTTATTCTAAGTGTAAGTATTGCTTGTATGTTTATTATTGGCTAGCATTTAACCTACAATTCATTATTTTAGAGATATAAGAAAGAACTATTTTAGTAGGAAAATTATTTATTATAAAAAATACTCATTCGTGATTATGGAGAATACTAATTTAAAGTAAATAAAAATGTTTTAAGAAAAACATAATGGATATTTTAAATCATCCTAAATATATTTATTGGTGTATAAAATTACAATATTCTAATAATTCATCCTTTTGTTGTTGATCAAGAGAACTTAATCTTTTTAAATTATTTTAGATATATTTCATTATCTAATTTTATATTTTAAGCCTTCAATCTCTAAATTTAATTATTAATAAATTAGTATCTTTTGTCTATAAATTATTATATCTACTTTTCGTAATTTGATCATTATCTAAAATTCTTAGTCTCATTTCAACAGTTCTTTTGGAAAATTCATTTATATTAAATCTGCCTAATAATACCTAGTAGTTCTTTTATCTCTCTTTTGAGTAGTTTTTAATTAAGTTTAAATTATTTTTGTATCAATCATATAATTTTATTATATCTGAATGATAAAGGGTGTATAGAATCTTTTTCATTTAAAAGTATAAAAATTATAATAATTATAAAATAGGAATTTTATTATGTATTGTAAGTTAATAATTTATTAAGATAAGTTAAAAAAAGTGTTTTCAATTTAAAAAATAAAGATTAATTTAAATTGTATTAAGATTTTGATTGATAATATTATAATTCTAATATAATAATTTAATATATTAATTGATATTAAAATATAATATGAAAATGAGAGGTCAGATATGGTGTTTGATAAATTATTATAACATAAATTATATAATTGGTTATAAGTATAAATGATTTGTATATATCAGACCACGTGTTAATGAAATTAAGAAAAATATCTTTATTATTTAATGTCAGGACCTGTGTTTAAGGCAGCAGCCAAATGGACTGGAAGAAAGATCAACGTTAAGAATACAGTAGTTGAATTAGATGGAGATGAATAAGCAAGAATCATTTGGAAAATGATCAGAGAGAGATTGGTTTTGCCTTATTTGAATGTGAATTTAGAATATTATGATTTGAGTATGGAACATAGAGACAAGACTGATGATAAGGTATTATATTTTAATAGAAAATTAAGGTTACTTTCGATTCAGGATATGCTATCTTAAAACATAAGGTTGGTGTTAAATGCGCAACAATTACAGCTGATGAAGCAAGAGTTGAAGAATTCAAACTTAAAAAGATGTGGCCATCACCAAATGGATCAATTAGAGCTATTTTAGATGGTACAGTATTCAGAGAACCAATTATTTGTAAAAATATTCCCAGATTGGTTCCAGGATGGACTTAACCAATTGTAATTGGAAGACATTCNAAGTGTAAGTATTGCTTGTATGTTTATTATTGGCTAGCATTTAACCTACAATTCATTATTTTAGAGATATAAGAAAGAACTATTTTAGTAGGAAAATTATTTATTATAAAAAATACTCATTCGTGATTATGGAGAATACTAATTTAAAGTAAATAAAAATGTTTTAAGAAAAACATAATGGATATTTTAAATCATCCTAAATATATTTATTGGTGTATAAAATTACAATATTCTAATAATTCATCCTTTTGTTGTTGATCAAGAGAACTTAATCTTTTTAAATTATTTTAGATATATTTCATTATCTAATTTTATATTTTAAGCCTTCAATCTCTAAATTTAATTATTAATAAATTAGTATCTTTTGTCTATAAATTATTATATCTACTTTTCGTAATTTGATCATTATCTAAAATTCTTAGTCTCATTTCAACAGTTCTTTTGGAAAATTCATTTATATTAAATCTGCCTAATAATACCTAGTAGTTCTTTTATCTCTCTTTTGAGTAGTTTTTAATTAAGTTTAAATTATTTTTGTATCAATCATATAATTTTATTATATCTGAATGATAAAGGGTGTATAGAATCTTTTTCATTTAAAAGTATAAAAATTATAATAATTATAAAATAGGAATTTTATTATGTATTGTAAGTTAATAATTTATTAAGATAAGTTAAAAAAAGTGTTTTCAATTTAAAAAATAAAGATTAATTTAAATTGTATTAAGATTTTGATTGATAATATTATAATTCTAATATAATAATTTAATATATTAATTGATATTAAAATATAATATGAAAATGAGAGGTCAGATATGGTGTTTGATAAATTATTATAACATAAATTATATAATTGGTTATAAGTATAAATGATTTGTATATATCAGACCACGTGTTAATGAAATTAAGAAAAATATCTTTATTATTTAATGTCAGGACCTGTGTTTAAGGCAGCAGCCAAATGGACTGGAAGAAAGATCAACGTTAAGAATACAGTAGTTGAATTAGATGGAGATGAATAAGCAAGAATCATTTGGAAAATGATCAGAGAGAGATTGGTTTTGCCTTATTTGAATGTGAATTTAGAATATTATGATTTGAGTATGGAACATAGAGACAAGACTGATGATAAGGTATTATATTTTAATAGAAAATTAAGGTTACTTTCGATTCAGGATATGCTATCTTAAAACATAAGGTTGGTGTTAAATGCGCAACAATTACAGCTGATGAAGCAAGAGTTGAAGAATTCAAACTTAAAAAGATGTGGCCATCACCAAATGGATCAATTAGAGCTATTTTAGATGGTACAGTATTCAGAGAACCAATTATTTGTAAAAATATTCCCAGATTGGTTCCAGGATGGACTTAACCAATTGTAATTGGAAGACATTCATATGGAGATTAATATAAATGTTAAGATGTAAAATTACCAGGACCAGGAAAATTAGAATTAATTTATACACCAACATAAGGAGAATAAGTTAAGCGAACAATCTTTGAATTCAAAGGAAAAGGTGGTGTTGGATTAGGAATGTATAATACTTATGAATCAATTGTTAACTTTGCTCATCAATCATTTTAATATGCTTTAATGAGAAAATATCCATTGATGTTGGGAACAAAAAATACTATCTTGAAATAATATGATGGATATTTCAAAGATATTTTCTAAGAGATATTTGAAACTAAATACAAAAAAGTATTATTTAATTATTTATAATAGGATTTTGATGCTAATAAATTATGGTATGAACATAGATTGATTGATGATTTGGTTGCTTAAATGATGAAATCATCAGGAGGATTTGTTTTAGCCTTGAAAAATTATGATGGTGATGTTTAATCAGATATTGTTGCTTAAGGATATGGATCTTTGGGTATGATGACATCAGAATTGGTTGCCAATGATGGTGTTTATGAATCTGAAGCTGCTCATGGAACTATCACTAGACATTATAGAGAACATTAAAAGGGCAAAGAAACATCTACTAATTCAGTTGCCAGTATTTATGCTTGGACAAGAGGTCAATATTTTATATATATATATCTCTATAGGTCTCAGACATAGAGGAAGATTAGACAACAATTAAGAATTAGTCAAATTCGCTGAAACTGTAGAGTCATCAATCATCTAAACTATTGAATCAGGATTATTTACCAAAGATTTGGCTTTGATTGTTCATGGTCCAAAGGCTGACAGATCAACCTATTTGAATACAGAATAATTCATTGATGCTGTCAATGGATAATTATAATCAAATCTTGGATTTTTAAAGTGACATATTATAATCATCAAATATAATAAAATAATATTTCTTCTTCTTTTACTTAATAAATTTAATAGTATTTTTAATATTTTATGAGTGCACCCAATATTAATCACGAAACCGATCGCAAACTAAATGAAATTTTTAATTCAATTAAATTAGAAAATGTAAAAACATAAGAAACCTTAAAAAAAATTTCGAATACTAACAATCTGATTACTTAAGTAAGGCGTAATTAATCATTAGCCTTACTCCTTCAGAATGTTTAAAATCTTAACCAAACTCATAAAGAATTCAAGGAAATTAAAATAAATAATATACCCATCAAATTAAACAGCAATGTTGTAATATATACAAAAAAAAATGGCCATTGTATTGCTAAAACCATTAAAATTATTGGAATAGTAAAATTCTAACATTATACACCAATAATTCAAGTTTAATGGTACTAAAAAAAAAAAGATTTAAAATAAATTATTGGATAATATTTCGATTGCATAAGTGAAAGAGAATTATTTTTATCTGATCAATATGATTATATTTAACCTGATATAATTGTTGGTGAAGCCTCAGTATTGGAGTTAGAATAATTTGAACAGAAAAACTAATCAACAGGTTTCATATTTTTTTGTAGGTAAAATATATATTTTTATGTGTAGATCATTTTATAAAAATCATTAAATCCTTCCACCTATATAAAAATGGGAGAAGCATTGCAAATGTAGATAGCCAAAGAATCCTGATAAGAAACATTTAATCTGTGATATTTGTTAATAATGGTATCACTAAGATTGCATGGCATTAAATTATAATATATAAGGGATATATGTGTGTCCTTCATGTAAGAAACAAAAATGATCTAATTTAAGTTAACTTTGGCTTAGTATCAATTACCTAAAATCAATAAAAATATAATTATTATATATGTCAGAATAATTGAATGCTTCCTTTCTTAAATAAGAAGAAGACATTATTTAATCAAAAAAAGAACAAATCTTATAATTCTTTGACCAATAAGGTTATAAACCAAATACTGTCTTTGATGATTAACTATGGTTTTTACCCGAAATCAATAAGACTTATGATCATCTTTTATGGAAAGTTATTAATGATACCATTGGTTATGATTATAATAAAGACGATCATGTAGAATGATAATTTTACATAGTTCGCAACAGAAACAAAGATTGATGCTTTTGTTCAAACGTTATTAGATGAAGCTAAAAGGATACATATAAAAATAGTGGAATTAAAAAAAAACATAGATTATAATAAAGAGGAAATAGATAATTTTGACAAGTTTTCAAAGATAATTGAAGCTAGTAATCATAAATAAATTCTATGATAGATAAAACTGAATATAATTAAGAGAATGCATTTGTAATATCATATGTAGATGAAATCAATTAGATAAATGACATAGCAAAAGTATAATAGTTTTAGATTATAAGTTCTACACTATCAAATATAAGATTGGTACAATACTTTAGAATTACTAATTATTATATCCAGAAAACTCTAATCGATCTACTTGCATTACTAATAATCCTTAAATAGAATAAATAACTTTAATTGTAATGGGAAAGAGATTAGATGATAGTATTAGAGATGCAAGAAATTCAGGAGAAGATTATCAAGAATTAGCTTAAATTAAAATACCAATTTAAGATATATACTAATAAGTAAGACCTAGACATTTTGCATTACCTACAATTCCATAATAATATTTGATAGTTAATTACTAAGATTAAAGTTTAGATGCACCTTATTGTGAAAATGTAACAATTAATTTACGTTTTGATCTTCGATTGTCTTATTTATATAGAATTTAAATAATAAAAGATCAAAAATAATATAGGACTGAATTTATAGAAGTAAAGAAATCAAATATCTTATTAGAAATCTGAAGAAAAATTATAATAGCAATTAGGATTAATGTAGCAATTATTATTTCCATTTAAATCAGAACCTAAATTGCATTATGTGATAGCCAAAGGAATAGGTTTATAATCAGATTTTAAAGATGATAATAAGGAAAATTAATAAATTTTAGAAGAAATTAGACCTAAAAAAGAAAGAGAATCCTGCTGCCTTATTTGTTGAATTTAAATTAATATATTATTGAAATCATAATAATTCTCAATAACTGCTTCTATTCAAAAATCTATATTCTATATTGAAGAACTCATTTAAGAAACATAATAATTAGATATTACATCAAATTATAGAGTAATATAAAAAATCTAAATAAATATTATTTATTTTAAGAAATAAGTGATAGTATTGAGTTAACAAGTATGATATAGAGAATTTTGTATATAAGTTAAATAAATATACACAAATAAAGTTATTATTCAATAATAATGAAGTTATAAAAGTAGATCTTCATCAGGATTATTCACATGATTATTCCAACCTTCTAAATTTTATGGCCAAGCCATCCATTAATTTTGTTTTTGCTTATCAAAATTACCTTGACTAATACTCCTTTAAGTTATTTATTATGATTATAATTTTCGAATAAAATAAGGTGAATTAGGCTCACTAGGTTATTTTGTAGATGGTAAACACTTTGGAGTAGCATTACATATTTCATCTATAGCCAAAGATTATTTGTCTCGAAATTTTAGATGAGGAATTTACAATATTTATTTTTCTTATGAATTAGATTACTTAGAATTTTTATCTTGAATTGCAATAGGAATTTGGAATATTTTGAATTTCTTCTCTAATCGATTATCATTAGATCTAACAGATTTTATGTCGCTTTTTACATCTATAACATAGAATCCTTCCTTGATTTGCAATTTTTATGTTTGAAATAACTATTTGGATTTTCCTGATTTGGAGTTCATTATTTATTTTCTCAGTTAAATAATTTTCTTTTCAATAGATAATTTTCTATATCCATTATTTTATTGTTATTTTTATAAAGGTTATTATTATTTTGTAGGAGATAAAGTGTAAGGTTTTAAGAGTGTAGGAACTGATTCTCTTAAGGTTGGTTTATTAAAATGATTTTTTAAAGAGATTTTTTATTCTAAATGTATTAGATGCATTGGTTTAGTAGTTCTTGAAGTTTTTGAGGAGTTCATTATTAAATATTAAATGAAAAAATAATATATTGAAAGTACTTACAAATATTTAGATTCCAATTACTTCATAAAATCAATTTAAAATAGAAATATAAAATAAGTTACAGAGTCATCATCATCTTCCAAATTAATTGTAAATTTTCTATTTATTTTTATGGACTTATATCAATAATCCAATATGTTTTATTTATAAATTATTTCTTAAAAATCTTTCACATAAACCTTTTCAACAAATTTATCTAATGTTAATTCATAGATTTTTAACATAGATTTCTTGAGAATCTTAATTTAGCATTTCTCATTAGAGAAATATTATGAATTAGATATATTTTAATCATATATTTATTAATTTATATCAATTTTATAAAAATATTATTTTATTTAATGTTTTTATTAATACTATTTTAGATAGTGTTTGCTTAAATACAAGAAATTGATTGTGATGTAATTAATAAATTACTAGAAAGATGTAATATTTTTATATCAATTTAGATAGAATATGAGATATAATAACCAATTATTTTATTATTTTACTTCAAATATGGTGCTATATATTAATAAATCAAATCGACTTGGTTGTAATTTATGTTTTTAATTTAGACAATATTCTCAAATTTACTCTTAATATTAATTTATGTAATTAGATATGAAAGAGTATTCAGAATAATGCATTGTTGGAATTTTTGAACATAATTATCTTCCATATGGAATCTACATAAATGACAAATACGAATTTCACGCTGAACTAATTCGTGAATCTGCTCAACTTATGGAATATTTAGAATAAACAAAAAAGTTTGAATTCAATCCTTTACCTAAGTTTAATAAATATAGAAAATTGTAGAATATGTTATCAAATTACATTTTTGTAAATATCAATTATTAAAATAGATTTAAAGCATTAAAGCAATAGGAGTTGTAGCATTAATAATTTTTGCAATTTGGTTTAGATTATAAATTTACAAAGATAAGGACAAAGAAGAATGAGAAATAATTGTTCATTATTTAATAATGTTATTTTATTAAATTTAAATTATAAAAAAATAATTATTGCTTAGAAGAAATAGTATAAATTATTCTAATCATTAATAATTTATTCGTCATTCAATACTTAATCCTTTATAAGATATTTAAGTTATAATATTTTATGTATTTACATACTTATTCTAATGTTTTATTCTTAATTTACATTTTTGATATGGCATTCTAATAAAATAATAAGAGACCTCCTATACTTTGAGATAATCAAAGTTTTTGAAATCTTCAGATTTTATGAATATGATTATTTAATTATAAATATATAATGAAAATTATTATTTTCTTAGTTCTCTTAATCGGAATCAATTATTCACTTAACTTAAATCCTGTAATAGGAATATTAACAATACCATCTGATGAAGATTACAAAGAGTATCCTTCTTCATAATATTCATATTTTGCTGCTTCATATGTTAAATATGTAGAATCATCTGGTGCAAGAGTGATGCCTATTCCTTATGAAGCAGATGAGGCTACATTAGAGAAATACTTTTCATAGATTAATGGATTATTACTCACTGGAGGTACTTTGGCTTTAGAAACAAAGTCAGGGCCATCTAAGTATTTATAGACAGTGACTTATTTATTAAACAAAGTTATAAAAGCAAATTAGTCAGGTGATACATTTCCATTGTTTGCCATATGTTTAGGACATTAAACTTTACATTTTATTTTATCTAATAAAGATTATGATGTATTAAGTCCTGCTTCAGGAATGTAAAGAGTGAATAAAAAATTGATATTTACAGATAAGAAGAGTACAATGTTTATAGATTTAAAAGAATAAATTTTCAAATCAATTGAGACATAAGAATAAAGTATTTATTATATTTAATTATAGTTTATTTTAATACTGCTTGGGGAGTATTACCTAATTATTATTAAACTCATTCTGAATTGAATAATTTCTTTAATATAGTTGCAGTAGTTGAAGATTAAAAAGGTGTTGTATCTATAGCTGCAGCAGAAGCCAAATAATATCCAATTTTTTCTTTTGGTTTTCATCCAGAGAAACCAATATTCGAATTCAAAACTCCATCTTAACACTAATAAGAATCTATCTAATTCGGTAGAAATTTAATTAATCAATTTATTCAAATTGCTAGAGAGAATAATCATATTTTGAAAGATTCAAATTCAGTCATTTTTAAATATAATCCTATATAATTGGATAGTGCTTCATTTGCATAAATTTATTTCTTTAAATTAGGAGAACTAAATATTTGAATGAATAAATGATTAATAAATAAAAAAATGTTGATATTTTAAATAACTTTCAAAAAGTTAAATTTAAGTATTTTATGTAATTAGTATACTTAAGTTTCCATTTAACAATATCATAATATCTTAATTATTTTTTTTTAAATTATAAGTAAATATAAATCGAATTGTGAATTATTAATTAAAAGAGGAAATTACATTAACCTCTTAAGGCACCCTCATTATCTCCACCATCTCATCAAGTATCAACATATTTAGATAAATAATAAAGAACATGTAAATAATTTTATTATCTTTCCCTCATTCTAGATCTCGACAGGATGAAGTTAGATAGAGATGTAATTTCTCATCTTATTATGAATAAGTAAGTGAGTAATAATAAATTACAAATCAATTTAAATCTAATAATTGGAATCTTAGATATGATAATGAAAAACACAAAAAATAAATTTATATACTAAATGATCATATTACTAAACTCAAAAGAGACTTATCAATTTATAAGAATTAATAAGTAAATAAATTAGATAATGACAATAATAAATTAATGTAAGGATATCAAAAGAAAGCTAAAGAAAGAAAAGCAATTATGAAAAAGTTATACGGTATATTGAAGACAAAAGAATAAGAAATTGAAGAACTCAGTTAATCTTTTGAATTCTAAATAAATGATATGAATAATAAAATGATCTAATTATAGGAATAGTGTAATTCTCAAATATTTCAATAAGAAGATAAAATAAAATAATTAGAGTAAGTAATTAATAGTATATTATGTTTAAAATAATCAAAATTATAAGAATTAGAAATTAAAGAGCAGAAAATGAAAGATATTTTTATAAAAATTAATTAAGAAATAAGAATCTAAAGATAACATTGATGAAGTTAAGAATATTTTAAGTTTCATTACAAAAGAAAAATAAAAATATCTACTCAAATTACCTGATTTTTCATAATAATAAAATAACCTGTCTAAAGAATATCAAACAATAGTAAAACAATATGAATCTCTTATGATGTAAATTAATAGTCTCAATTAGGTAATTTGTTAATAAATTAAGCCAGAATTTACGTGTACAGATTCTATATATCAACTATCTTAAAATATTAAAGAGATATTAAAATAAAATATCAATTATTTTTAAGAAGTAAAAGAACTAAAAGAACAATAAAATAAATCAATTAATAAACTAGAAAAATACAAAAAGTAAATTGAATTAAAAAATGAACCATCATTTTGATTCATAAATTAAGTTAGTTTAATTAAGAAATGAAGAGATTCAAAATCTTAACTCTTAATTAAGAGATTTATTAGAGAAATAGTAATATTTAGAATAATTAATCAATGAATTGAATATCGATAAATAATAATAGAAAAATTAAGAGGAAATTTNGTAAGTGAGTAATAATAAATTACAAATCAATTTAAATCTAATAATTGGAATCTTAGATATGATAATGAAAAACACAAAAAATAAATTTATATACTAAATGATCATATTACTAAACTCAAAAGAGACTTATCAATTTATAAGAATTAATAAGTAAATAAATTAGATAATGACAATAATAAATTAATGTAAGGATATCAAAAGAAAGCTAAAGAAAGAAAAGCAATTATGAAAAAGTTATACGGTATATTGAAGACAAAAGAATAAGAAATTGAAGAACTCAGTTAATCTTTTGAATTCTAAATAAATGATATGAATAATAAAATGATCTAATTATAGGAATAGTGTAATTCTCAAATATTTCAATAAGAAGATAAAATAAAATAATTAGAGTAAGTAATTAATAGTATATTATGTTTAAAATAATCAAAATTATAAGAATTAGAAATTAAAGAGCAGAAAATGAAAGATATTTTTATAAAAATTAATTAAGAAATAAGAATCTAAAGATAACATTGATGAAGTTAAGAATATTTTAAGTTTCATTACAAAAGAAAAATAAAAATATCTACTCAAATTACCTGATTTTTCATAATAATAAAATAACCTGTCTAAAGAATATCAAACAATAGTAAAACAATATGAATCTCTTATGATGTAAATTAATAGTCTCAATTAGGTAATTTGTTAATAAATTAAGCCAGAATTTACGTGTACAGATTCTATATATCAACTATCTTAAAATATTAAAGAGATATTAAAATAAAATATCAATTATTTTTAAGAAGTAAAAGAACTAAAAGAACAATAAAATAAATCAATTAATAAACTAGAAAAATACAAAAAGTAAATTGAATTAAAAAATGAACCATCATTTTGATTCATAAATTAAGTTAGTTTAATTAAGAAATGAAGAGATTCAAAATCTTAACTCTTAATTAAGAGATTTATTAGAGAAATAGTAATATTTAGAATAATTAATCAATGAATTGAATATCGATAAATAATAATAGAAAAATTAAGAGGAAATTTAAATATAATTAAAAAAAAAGTTAACTTATTGATAATTAAATTAGAAGGTGTCTGATATGATAATTCTCATAATAGTTTTAATTTTGATGCTCTAAGAACCCCTACTAATTAAATTTATATCAACAAATAATCTTCTTTTGATTAAATTGAATTATATACAAAGGAAATTTAAAGTCTTAATTCTCAAAATGATGAATTATCAATTTAATTCACATAATTAGAAGTTTAGCCTCAGTAAAATGGTGAATAATAATAGCAATCATTAATAGAAAAGTAAAAGATAATTTGTGAATAAAATAAAGAAATTCAATTACTTTAAAATCTTTTAAATGAAAATCAAATGAAAATTTCATTGTAAAACTTATAAATTTACAACTTACAAGAAAAATTTGAAAGGCTAATCTTAAAATAAAAAAATTGAATTTTAAAAATTATTTAAGATTTTAAAACTATTTAATATGAACAATCAGAATATATCAAAACCAAATTATTTCAAGAATAATAAATTTTAAAATCAAATTATATAAAGCTAGAAACAAAAATATTATAAGCAGAAGAAATATATTAACATAAAATAGAAAATTATAAAATTATATATTAAAATTAATTAATCTAGATCTCTGAGTTGGAGAACAAATAATCAGAATTTTAAGAAAAAGTAATATTATATTAGAAACTAAATGAGGAATTAAAGACTTAACTTTAGAAAGAACAAGAACAGAAAGAAAAATTAATGCTTATTTAAGATGATTAAGTAAATAGTATTTTAAATGAAAAATAGTCAATTGAGATAAAATTAAATGAAATAACTTAAAAAGGACTTAAATAAATTGAATTATGTAAATAAGAAAAGAAAAACAAGATTTGTAAAAAAATCTGGAAAATACTTTATAAATACAATAATAACTAGAATAGGATTAAACTTAAAAAGTTAATCAAATGACCTTAAAATATTTATAAGAAATCAATCATATAAATTTAAATTAATTTAAAATATAAAAAGCCAGTGAAGAATAATAGAATTAACTAATAATTTAGATTTAATTATAAAGTTTAAAATAACCTTAATGAAGAAATGAGTAAGAATCAATCATTAATATATGAAAAAAAAAGGCTTCAAAAATATTTGAGTTAATCAAATTTAGATAAGGAATTGATGAATGATATATAGTAAATGGAATAAGGATTATAGTTAATAAATTTTGATGAAAATAAATCCCTTATATAAGGAAATTCTTTTAGACAATAGTTAGTATCTGCTTTAAATGGAAAAAGCGGTAATTTAAGTGAAAATTTTGAAAATTAAATGAAATCAAGTTGTAATTAGAATTAAAAAATTATTGTTCTTTAAGATAAAATAGCATAATTATATGATGAAAATGACAAATTGTAGAGATAATAATTGTAGAGCTTAGATGATTTTAAGGAGATATTTCTTTTGAAGGAATCTGAAATGGTTATATAATTAAGATAAGAAATAGATAACTTAAAAGTAGAAAAAGCATAAGGAAAGGCAAAAAGTGTATTATAATAAGAAATAGTAAAATTAGAGAAAAAATTGATTAAGAAAGATGAGGAAATATAATTTATAAGGAAAGGAAGTTCAATTTTTATAGAGATGTGTGAGAAAGCTATTGTTTAAGATAGAGATTGGATGATAGATTTAAATAATTTAGATGAAAGTTATGCTTAGAGATGGAGAATTATTTGTGATAAGTTGGTGGAGTATGATTAATTATAAGGAGAAATAATGAAGAATCAAAATGAAATTTAAGAATTATAATTGTAGATAAAAAACAAAGAGAATTTGAGTTTAAGAAGCATGATAATGAAATAAAGTTTATCATTTGATGATGAAGACATTTTTAGTATGAGATCTACAGTTACAAAATTAAGATAAGAATTAGAATAAGAAAAAGTTGAGAATACAAAATTATAGTCTTATTTAAAATCCTATTTAAAGGATGAATAAAGATTTGAAGTATTAAATAGATATAAAATTTAGGAATAAAATTAAAGAGTTAAAGAGGAAAACAAATCTTTACGAAATAGAATATATGACCTATAAGAAGAGATCAAATAGTTAAATAAGAAAATTTAGAATTGTCAGGATGGAGCATTGGCATCACATTTAATTTCTTTATTAATTAAGTTTTTCGAATCTTTATAAAAAGAGTTTAAATTATAATATTATTCATAGGAATAAATAAGAAATAAAAGTTTATTATCAAAGTTTAATGAGTCTTTGTAGGATAGAATATAATGAATAAGTTATAAACAAATTATTTCAGTGTGTAGAAAAGAAAAATCAAGGAGTATTCGGAATATTTAGAAGAGATAAGACCAAAGATAAATGATATTTACTCTATTAATACTTAAAATAATTAATTGAATTGTAAATGAGTGTCTAAAGACCACCAACTTCTACAACTAGAGATGTATCTACTAGTGTTTTTGGATAAAGTCATATAGAATGGCTTACTCCAAATAAGGACTTAGATTGGAATTAAGAAAAATACATGAGATAAGTGAATGAGATAATTATCGAATGTAAAATTTAAATTCCATTTTATTTTAGAAAATGAATCACCTATATAAGATAAACAGAGATAAAATTCAATTTAATAATATTAGTTAATAACATTTGCTGAGTTGATTCAAAGATTTAGATTAAACGAAGGATAATATTCAGTTCGAAATAAATCAAAATGCTCATGCTATGGATTTTCATCTGGTATCTCAACAACTGATTAAGTTAAATAAAAGTTCATTAAATTAGGAATGGATTAGATAGATCTAAAAAATGAATATCACAGAAATACACTTTTTTCCATACATTATATATTGAATAATGTTTAAAAGGCTAAAGAGAACTAGTTAAATATGATTTCAAAATATGCTTCAAAATATTTTTAGCTATTTTAATTTCTTACTTGTTTAGAATTTGAAACACCACTTTTTTAATTACTATATAAAGAATCAGGGGAATTATTAATATAATTGGTAATGAATGTAGGGGAGATGGTTTTTGAATAATTGTTGAGTAATAAATTAAACAAATTAATCTAAAAAGAGTAATCTCATTTACTATACAATATATTAAGAAATTATCAGACTAGTCTCGTTTTCCATATTTACAAAGAAATAAAAAAATCAAATATTCCACTCTAATTATTAATAAAATAATGTGAAAAATCTGATCCTCATATTTATTATTACTGGTATATCCAATAGAAATAATATAATAATAATCTATTCTTTGATTGATTTATATATATATATATTTAATTAGTTATTATATCATTATATTAACAAAGCAATAATAAACATTATTGAGATTAGTTTCATATAGTTATTTAAACATTCTCCAGTATAATATCCTTCAATATCACTATTTTGACAAGCACTGCAAGAATTATCATAGTTTCTTTCGCATCCATTACCATTACAAGACTTTAAGATACCACAAGTTTGAACATATTCTTAATCACATTCTGAAGGTCTTTAAGCTTGACAATATTAATAATTGGCCACAAAAGAATCTGATTTCTATTCAGCATTGTAAAACAATTCTTAATATTGATTACAATCACCAACAAAATATGATGTAATATTAGATTATTAACATGGTTCACATTTATTATCGAATGGTTATAAACAAGGTGGATTTTAACATATAGCAGTTTCATCTAAAAAACCACAAACAGTAAGTTGTTCTTTCAATTCACAGTTGTTTGATGATTGTGAATTACATTAAATTATAGTAGGACTTTAAGGTCTTAAATTATTAATTTATTTCAATACTTATATTCAGAGCAATTTCCAAAAAAGTAACTATGAATTGAAGTATTTCTGCAAGCCAAACATTCATTCGTGAATTACTGTAAACAATTTTATCCAGTACATTTAGTAGTAGAATCAAAGAGTCCGCATATAGATTTTATACTATAAAGTTCTAAATGATATTTACCTAGTATCACATATACTGGGTCGAGGGTTTGTACAAGATATAGTTTGAGTATAATTTCCAGAAGTAGGTTTAGGAGGATTTTTATCTACACCAGCAGAAGTCTATGGTACGTCTATTTTAGTATCATCTTGTTTCTTTTAACAATCGCCTTTTATATATTTCACCACTTAACTTGCTTTACAAGCAAAACAATTATTAACAAATGTTTAGATTGATGAATTAGAAATATTTAACCCACAAACTGGATCATAGTTATCTGAACATTCTCCTTGTTGAATTTGGCAATCATATATTTATGAATGCACTATTGAAAGTAAGAGCATAAAGAGCATCGATTAGATTATGTAAAATACAATAATTATTACTAAAAATAGTGAAAAAAAATTCACATAAAAATATTGATTTAATTGCAATTTTATAAAAGAATAAATATATTTTTTGATTTTAAGCAAAATGACTTTAAAGAATGATATTAAAAGTTTAAGTTATATAATATTTCTATATTCACATCATTTTTTCAATTAATACTTTTTTAATACTATTCCTATATTTAAGTTATAAAACATTGATTCTAAATTATTAATCGATAAATCAAACATGTATAATAAGTATCATAATTTAAATACATGAATCTAATTTACTTGACAATCTTAATCTTATTTTATAAATTGGATATTTTTATTTATTTTTATGAGTTTTTTAATATTGATATCAAAATTGAATAGGTATATGTTAATTATACAATAGAAAAGTAAGGTTTTATAATGTTTGAATGTTTATTAAGGTCAATGGAATAATTTTATTGATTCTGAAAAATGCTTGATATTTATCAATCTTATTATTATAATGTATTTTTTCTCATTTTTAATTAAATAGTGAGATAATAATAATGTTAAGGTTTTAGAAATTGGGTGAAGATGAATAAGCTCGTTTGGATCAAGAAAGCCTTAAATAAAAAAAAGAGTTGTTAAAATAAGAATTTGAACACTAGGAAGAAATAAGAAAATATGATAATCTCTCTATAGTTTCATCCAATGACTTCAAATTTAAGGCAGAATTGGATAAATTGTAAAGTCTAAATAAAAGAAAACAATAAGAATTAGAACTTCTGTTAAAATCAGGATAAAATAGTAGAAAATCTAAAACAGGAACTTCTTAGATGCTTGCTTCCACTAGTGGATATGGGGTTATTCATTCTATTAATAATCATCATTCTGATCCTTTGTTTGAAACCTTTAGTGGGAATCTGAATCTTAAGTTATTAGATTTAGAATAGAGAGATTAATATAGAGAATCATTGATATTATAGGAATCTCGTTATGAAAATTTGATATTGGAGGAGTAAGAGAAAAGCGAGTCATTATAAAAGATACTAGTTGAAATTGAAAAATCTAAACTAATTTAATAACAAAAATGTGAAGAATTACAAATTATTTTAAGCAAAGCAGGTAAGAGATTTAACAATACTGATGCTTTAAAATTGATGGCTGAAAACAAGAGATTTTTAAGTAAGAAAAACCTATAATCTATAAAAAATGAATTTGGTTAAATGAAGTAAATGTAAGACACATACAAACGTTCATAAGAAAATAAATAATAATAATTATAAAAAATATTATATGTTGGTGAAGAAAATATTGGACATAATGTTTTAAAAATAGAAGAAGCAGAAAGATTTATAGATGCTTAAAACAAAGAATTTGAAATTTTAGAAGAGAAAAAATAAAATTAATTGAAAAAGAAATAAGAAAGTAGATATATTCTAACTTATATTGAATTTTTTGAGATATTTGAATAAATATTTATGAATAAAGATAAACCAAATGAAATTAGATTAGTTGATTAATATATAGTTAATGAGGAATTATTATAAAAATGGAATCATAATTAATAAAATGATAATTTATAATAAGAATAAGAAATGAATTTTGATAGAAATGAATTATTATCTTAAATCAATAAATTCTATTAAGAAAATGAATAAAGAACTTAATATATCCTAGATTTTATGTTAGAGAAGTATTGGCATCTTCAATAAGAATTAACAAAATAAAGTATTTCTTATGAAAATCTCTTAAAGTAAAAAGAAATTCTTTTAGATGAAATTGAGAATCTAGATTATGAATTAAAAGAATTAAAATAGAAGAATCCTAATTTAGAAATTCATGAATAATCAATTGTTGCTGAAGATGCAGGTTTAATGAATTTAAAAAATGAAACAACTACTTTAAATATTAAGAAAATGGAAGTAGAAGAACATCCTGAATAAGTAGTATGGATAAAGGCTACAAAAACATAAGGATTATTAATGAATTTTTAACTTGGATTAGCTGAATATTTACATAGAATTTATTAAATTATTTAAGCAATAGATTAAAAAAATAAAGAAAATAAGAAATTTAAATATCCAAGTTTAAATAATGAAATTAATGGTATTAATATATTGATATCAAAAATATATAATATAATTAAAAGTTCAAATCAAAATAATGAATTGACTTAATAACATTTAAATTAATTTGCAATACATAATATTGTAATTGAAGTGTTTCCTAGATTTAAAGAATAAGAATTATAATAAATTAGTTAGTATTTATATATTTAAAGTAAAACAGATTAAATCTTATGGTTTAATTTAAGTGTTGAAAATTTAACAAACTATTTAAAATCTTAAGAAAATCCTACATTATAATAGTTACTCAGTCCAGAAATTATTAATGTATTTAGAGATCAATTAATAGAAATATTTAAATATAATTTTCATAAATTATTTGATTATTATCAAACAATGTATAAAAAAATAAGAGATATTAGTACAGATTTATTGTAATTTTTAAAAGAAATTAATCCAAAATTTGATATTAAAAAATTATCAAAACTATTATTGAGAGAAGGTTAAGATATTTAATCAGCAAAAGATTTAATTATAAGAAGAATGATGGAATATAAAACTGGAGAAAATATACCATTAAATAGTAAAAATGATTTAAATAAAATATAAAATCTAAGACCAAAAACAGAAGAAGAATAAATATAAAGTGTTTCCTAAGAATAATAATAATAATTTGATTAGTAAGATCCTTCTTTATTATTTCCAAAAAAATAGAGATTGGATGAAGAAAAATTATCTTAAATTTAAACTTTTTTTAGAACAAAGATTAGGGAGAAAAATGAATAATTGAGAGATTAAAAACATAATGATACTATTTCAACTAAGGATAGACCTAGTAATATAGAATAATTAAATTCTGAAAGTATTTCTATGATTAAAGGTGAAAATAAGATAAATAGAGCAAAATCAAAGAAATTAATGGAAAGTAAGACAACTCGTAATTTATAAGATGATTTAGAATAAGAAAGAAGTTTATTAAAAGCATAAATAGCTGCTGATTTATTGAGAATGAAAGAAGAACAAGAAAGAAAAGATAAACCTTTAATGAAAGAATAACAAAATGAAATTAAGGTGTAGATAAAACAAGCAACTGAAAGATTATATGGAGAAAGGTAATATACAGTTTAGATAATGAGAAATATTGCATAAACAACTGGGATTTTAAGTGATATTAATTAATTAGAACATTTCTCTTCTAAAATAGAATCTCCCTAATTAGTTGGACAATTTGTGATTTAAAGAAAGAATTTACATAGAAATCTAAATAAAGAATTAGATTTACCAACATTATCTTATTTGAAACCTACAAGTGCTTATTTTTCAAGAAGAAATTAATCTTCTGAATAAATTAAAGCTATGGATTATAAAAGATATAATGAAATAGAAAATGGAGTTAGTTCAAGACCTTATACATAATATTAATCAACTCGTAAACCTTATACTACTTCAAATAATAATAGCTCAAGAAAACGAACCAATCAAAATTAAGAAGAATTAAAAAATAAATATTCAGGAAGAAGTAAAGTGACAAATAATAATGATTCTATGAATAAATTTCCTGTACCATTAGAAATATTTTAATATGAATAACCAAAATCACTATTAGTGCCAACAGTATCATGAATAATTGTTATATTTTTATTTATTATTAATGTATTCTTTTAATAATTAGAAAAAATAATGATAAATTTGAATACTTTATAACTTCTTAGTTGTGTGATAATCATATTAATTTAAATTTATAGATATAAAGAATAATACTTTTGGAATATAATAAAAGCATATTTTAACATACTCACAGTTTAAGTATACATATTAACCATTTATAATGAAATTCAATAAATATCATAATATTTAGGATATAGCAAGAATAACAATTATACAATGTTATAAATGCTTTAAAGACTTTAATCTACACTATACATATAATCATTATCAATTTATATAGGTATACTATTCATTATAATATACTTGAAAAATTTGCATTAAAATAACAGAAGACTAAGTTATAAATTTTTGATCCTAATCTAGTCATTTCTTTAAACTATATTATTTTAGTTTGTTTTTATTATATGTGCTTTGTATATCAAATACTTTAATAGAACTTATTAATTTAAAGATTGTTTAGAAATTGCTTATATTAGAGCTTTATTATTATTTTCAGCTATAAGTTCAATGACACCAATTATCTAAGTTCTATTAGAATAACCATTAAATAATTTTAAGTCATCTATAAAAATGATAAAGCAACCATTTATTAAGGATATCAAATTTAAAACAGTTTTATAGATGAAATAAATATAAACAGATGAAGAATTAGCGAAATTAAATAATTTAGAATCTAATTCAATGTTAATTGTTGAAGATATTGAAGATAACAGTGATATAAAATTATCAGATAGATGCAAACAATAAATAATTACTTGTATTTAATCTACATGGAATTTAATGTAGTTATTTGGAAGATCCTTAAATTTAATATACAACACAATATAATTAATTATGGCCTTTGTTTTATTATTTGGTTTTATTTGTATTTTTGTTGAATATTTTGATCCAAATAGTGATTTATTGAGCTAATTGAATGCAATTAATTTTTTTTCAAATTAATTGGATCAAAATAATTAAGACAGCTAAATGAGTTAGATTCAATTTGAAAAAATTGAAGTAATCACTATAGCTATTTTTAAATTTATATTTATTATCATTATGTATTTTAGTACAAATAATCGAATTCAGTATTCAAAAAGTATTATATTAATAATAATATTTTAGATAAGGAATTAATTGACAATGTTACAAATTTGACAGTGATAATTAGAAAAAATTTACTCAATTTTACTTTAATTGGACTCTTAACAACATTATATCCTAATTTAACATTTACTATCAATAATTCAAATTGTTTTAAGGAAATTTAATATAGTGATGGATAATTGATAAAAATGGGATAAGCTATATAAATTAATGAATAATAGAGTTGCCCTATTACTATAATATATTTAATTTCATTATAGATATTTGATAGTCCACTTACAACATTGATTGGATTACTAATTTTATTTTTTTATCTTTTCACAGCATTTTACATATTGTGTTTAAAACGAAAAAGCAAAAATATAAACGAGATTTGATATTTATTAAAATTAATTAATTATTATATATATTATGAATCCCGATAAAACTATAGATAACACATAATTTTCACTTTTAGAAAAAACAACAAAAAAATCGCAACTTTTTTAAAAGATATTTTTCTTTATCTTAGGTGTCTCATCATTGTCAGGATGGAATGCCATCTTAACTGGTTTATCATATTTTGCTGATTAATATGATGGTATTAAAAAGGACTACTTATTATTAGGACGTAATGTTTATTTTATACTACCTATTCCTAATTTCATAAGTTTGTGTTTAATTGGATTGTTCTTACCTCGTATTAGTTCTATGCTTTCAATGTTTTTCAGGATTGTGTGGTCATTAGTAATTTTATGTTTCCTTTTGTTTCTCTTGCCAATCATAGCATTAGAAATGCATAGTACTTTAGGTATTTATTTAATGAATATAAAAAAGGATATTGGTTATGTTTAACAACAATATTCATAATGGGAATATTTTCATCATTATAATAGAATAGTTCTATTGGGATGTCAGGGATACTTGGTCCAGAGTATGTTAATGTATTCTTTATTGGTACAGGAGCATCTGGAACTATTATCACCATATTTAGGTTAATATCTTTAGCTGCAATCAATAGTGAAAAATGTAATTGAATTCTATATTGAATAGCAATATTTTTATATATTGGAATAGCAGTATTATGGAATATAGGGGCAATCATAATGTATTTTGCATTTACAAAGACACCATAATATAGAAAGATTATTTAAGCACATAAAAAGGGTAGGTAATCTGTTTTAGTTCATGATCAAATAATTACAGAAGATGAACCAGATAATGTAATTTAAAATGATAGTGTAATTTCTGACATCATCAATTCAGACATTTTTAATTAAATAAATTAAATTTAAGATTAAAATTAATAAATTGAAAATTAAGTAGTCAATAAAAATAAAGATTAAATTTCGATAGAAAAAATGAATGTAATATAAACTTTGATATGGATTAATAAAGTAGCTTTCCCTATTCCTTTATTGATTGTGATTCTTTATATTTAAACATTTATGATGTTTCCAGGAGTAGCATTCTAAAAATCTTTTGATTCTGATTTTATTAATTGGGGTCAATGTTTCATTAGTTTAGGATACAATATGGGAGATACTTTAGGAAAGTTATTAGGTGGTAATAGAAAACTATTTAATTAATAAATTTTAATTGGTTTGTTTTTAGTTAGATTTGTTTTTTATTATACTTATATAGAAATTGCCAAAGGAAATCTAGATCCTAATTGGATTTCATATTTTAATACATTTTTATTTGGAATTTTGAATGGATTTATTACTACAGGTTATATGATATTGGGGCCAGAAAAAGTAATTAAGAATATATATAAAATAGACAAACGAAGGATTTGTTAAAGAAAAAATAGGTTTTGTATCAGGGTTTTCACTTTGCTTAGGAATTATGTTTGGATCATTTTTAGCATTGCCTTTTTCAAATATATCTAAATGATTTACAAATAAATATAAATTGTTTAGTATTGGTTTATCATTTTTGTATTATAATTAAAGCTTCTTTTTAATTGTTTTCATCTAATAAGCTTGATTGAAAACAAGGTTTTAATTTTTATCATCTAATTAAAAAATGTCTATGAAATTTTGACAATTTTTAGTAGGGTCTTTTGAGGTAAGTTGATTAATGCTCTCAAAAATTTTATTATGTGAATTATTTATATTATTTCAAATCGTATTGTTGATTTTGGCGGATAAATGGAAGTAATTTGATATTTCATTAACTTTTAGCAATTTATAAAGGACCTTGATTCAACAGATAGTAACTCTATAATGATTATTATATAGAAAAATCCCCTTAAAAATTAAAATTAGTTAGATCATCCAATACTTATCAGAAGTAAAACTCCTCACCCAAATAAATTAAAGAGGAATTAAAAAAAAATAAGATCATCAAGAAGCTAGAATTTAATGATGAATTTCTTATAATTAAATAGGATGGAATTATTAGTCGAAGTACTCGCCAAATAACTAAAAATAATTAAAGTATCAGTATTGTATTATTTAGTTAATTCTTCATATACATTGGGTCTTCTAAATTCTATAGAACTTAATAATAAAAATGAAATTATTAACAAATTGATCAAAACAAATGATCATGAATTATTATAAGTGTCTAGAACATCTAATATATATTGTAAGTGTCGTAAATCTAAATGCATTCAAAACTATTGTGTCTGTAGTGCCAACAATTAAGAATGTAAATCAAATTGTGAATGTTATAATTGTTCAAACAAATAACCCAAATCTATACTCCCCAAATCAACTTCAATAGAGTTTAATGGATGTAATTGTAGAAAATAAAAGTCATCTTATTTAATATTATTACATAGTTGTTCCAAACGTTATTGTGAATGTTAAAAGAGAAGGATCAAGTGTACTTCTAAATGCAATTGTTGTGAGGAATGTGAAAATTAAGAGATCTAGCTCCTGCCATTTTAATTAGATAGTCTATCCTGATTTTAAATTCATTAAATAAAATTTTATTTCAGTTAATTTAGAAATAAAAGTAAATAAAATTAATTTCAATAGATATATTATTTATAACATATTCTTAATAATAGAAACTATATTCATCTAAAAGTATAGAAATGATAATTTAATCAACTAACTTAAATATAAATATAATATTCATTTCTTTCCCTTCTTTTTTTATTTATTTTTATCATTAACTTACTTTTCTTATTTATTTTTTGGTTTCTCTTATTATTTAACATTCTTATTTTTTTATTTATTCTTTTTCTATTTTTATTCATCTTCATCAATATCATCTTCTTGATTAACTTCTTCATTTAAATCATCTTCATTATTTTTTGTTTTCTTAACAAAATTAGTTGATGATATAGCTTTTCTCTCTTTACCCAATCTATCTGCTGAATCCATTGATTATTTCATTGCTTTATTTAGAGATGTTCTCACTTATGATGTTATTTCAGTCATTAAATCTCTTTTTGGAAATAATGCTAATGAACCAACTATACATTCTTCAAATTATTAAATATTTAAATTATAGGTTCTTAACAATGATACAACTTCATCAATACAATTTAAACCAGCACTAGCTAAGCTTTAAATAATAAAAAATGCATATGGTTCTATATATTAAAATTTAATTGCTTTTGTATTTGTTAAATATGTTTATTAAGCAAATGCTTCTTTCACTTCTAAAATTTGTCTTTTAATTTTATTCTCGCTTGATATTTTACCAAGCATTTAAGGAAAATTCACTTTTGATAGAAGATTTCCTTTTAAAATTTAAGTAGGATACATAGTTGATAAGAATCCTACATTTGGCATTAATCCCCACATTTATGATCGCACTTTTGTATTCAAAACATCAGCATCTGCTAATGATGAAGCTGCTAGAGATATATTTTAAATTGAATTTGAGGGAGTCTTTTTAACTATATTTAAATCTAAATAGTTCTCATGATAAAAAAATTGAGTCATATCTGGATCCTAAAAATAGAAATCCATTAATTTATGAATAGGTTATGTTTATGAATCCTTGTAATTCAATAATATTCTTGTTGATTCATATAAATTTGTAGTAACCGAACCATCCTTTCCTATATTTTTATCAATATGCAATTTCAAACCAACTTTATGCATTTATAATAAGTTTAGTAATTATCTAATATCACATTAAGAAACCTCTATTTACTATTTTAATTCAGTAGGATCATAACTAATATTTTCAGATTTACATATATATTCAAGTTTCTTAAATATTTCTACTTGATTAGGTTTTTTAAATTACAAATCTAAACAATAATTGGCCAAAGATCTCATAGATTATTTATTTCGATCATTGCAAATGCAAACAATAGGTACCTTTGTTAATCTAATCATATCAATTAAACATTTATTCCCACCTCTATCACTACCAGTCATTCCATCTACTTCATCCATTAAGATAATTGTCTTTCCTTCACTAATCAAATTGGCATCCTTAAATCTAAGCACCGTATTATCTTAAAGATGTTTAACATAATTTTCAATTTAAAGTTTACTTCTAACATCAGAAGCATTCCATTCAATTAATTAGTAAGACTTTTATTTTGCAATTAATCTAATAATAGTTGTTTTACCTATACCAGGAGGACCTGATAATAGAAGGGCTTTAGCAGCAAAATTTTAAGATTAGAATGATCCAGGACATACTAAAATTATAATATATATAAAATACTTTCTAATTAAGATTTACCCCATTTATCTAACCATTTAACTATGTTAGTAACATGTGTTTAATCTAAACAGTCTGATACTTTAGATGGAGCATATTTATTTGTCCAAAGTTAACATTTTTATTTTATATCTTCAACCATTATTTACTCATTTTTTTGAACTTTCTTTTATTCTTCTTAAATCTATTTATTTTTAGAGAAATTAACTATTTCAGGTTTTAATTCAACTTATTTTTCAACCAATACAACTTCACTGTCAAATTTAGCTCTAAGATTACTTTTAACTTCTTAAACAGATTAATTAATAGGTAATTTAGATTATTATGAAGATTGTGATTTTTATTATAATTATAATTAGGATTATTATTATAATTGATCAGATTACTCTTTTATTTCTTATACACTATCTTAACATGCTAATTAAAAAGATTTCTATAAATCATTTCCTGTATATTATTTTAAATGATTATTAAAATCTTAATAATTAAGTATCAAATTGTTGTATTTCTTAGCATCCTTGTAATGTTAACTTTCTGTTATTTCCTTGCCATTTTTTTGATAATCCCCTTAAACTAAAATTGATTTATCAACCACTCTAACACTATTATATTATCCTCCATAATATTTAATAATCTATTAGATTTATTCTCTTGAATATTTTTCAAAATTTCCCAATACATAATATTTATATCTTTCTAAAGATTTACTTAATATATTATTATGAGACTCTTCTTCAATTTCAATTTAAGCATCTTAAACGTGTTCTTATTCAACTTAATTTCTTATTTCTTATTAAAACTATGAAGTTTCTACTTCTGAAGATTGAGGTGTGACTTTTAAAACTTAAGTAGTTTGAGTTGTAGTTGTGGAAGTTCTAGTAATACCAGCAAGATGGTTTAAGTTAGTAGGAAAATCTAAGTCACTATCAGGATCATCAGACATCTCACATTTTTTTTCTTCTTCCTTTTTGATGGTGTGTTATTTTTTTTCTTCAATCATCTGAAATTCTTAGACTTTTTTCTTGGGTTGAACAGTTTAAGTTGATTTCCCTTTTTATAAGAAACGATCTAATTATCCTTATTATTGTTTATTTTGATCAACAAATTCCAATTATGAATATTTTTACTTTTAATCATCTTGTTAATCTGAATCCTCAGAAGATGATTCCTATTGTAACTTTGTTGGCTTTATAATTTCTGGTTTTTCTTCATCGAGATCAGCTTGTTTTAATAATCTTTTCTTCATTTCCCGCTTTTTATAATTAAAGGTTTAATAAATAAATATTGTGAAATGTACATTTTATCATAATTATATGTGTCTATTAATTATGATTATAATGATATTAGAAAAATAAACACATCATTTCATTTAAAGTGAATGAATTAAATTAATAATTATATATATAAGAATGTCTATAGCTGAATAAAAGTTTATGGTTGATGCCTAAGGTAGGAATCTGGTTGAAATGAGACCTCCTGGTATTTAAAACAATCAACCCAATGATATCTAGATTACTGCAGAATAATTATTGAAAGTATAATTCATACTTATTTTTATTTTAGGATGCTGAAATCCATCAAACTAAAGAAATTAGACCTCCACAATAAAGAATTATGGATGAAGCTGAATTATAAGAATATAAATTTAGAAAAAGAATCTTATTTGAAAATAGAGTTAGAAGATAAAGAAATTATTTGGGAATTTGGATTAGATATGCTTAATTTGAAGAAGGATTGTTAGAATTTAGAAGAGCTAGATCTATTTTTGAGAGAGCATTAGAGGTTGATCCTTCCAATATAGGAGTTTGGATGAAATATATTGAAATGGAGATGAGACATAAATTTATTAATCATGCTAGAAATGTATTTGAAAGAGCTATTTATCAAATGCCAAGAATTGATTAATTTTGGTTTAAGTATACTTATATGGAAGAAGTATTGGGTAATTATTAAGCAGCAAGAGAAATATTTAATAGATGGATGACATGGAAACCAGAAGAAAAAGCATGGATGGCTTTCTTAAAATTTGAAGAAAGAATGGGAGATAGATAGAATCAAAGATAAATTATGTATAAATATATGGAAGCATTTCCTAAATTAAAAGTTTATTTAAAGGTAGCAAAATTTGAAATCAAATAAAAAGTTTGGGAATCAGCCAGAAATATTTATGAGAGAACTTTAGAAGAATTAGGATAAGAAGCATTAAAAGAAGAATATTTTATAGATTTTGGAAGATTTGAAATAAGAAATAAGGAATATGAAAGAGCAAGAGAAATATTTAGATTTGGATTGAAAAACATACCAAAGGATAAAGCATATTAATTATATTAAGAATACTTAGCATTTGAGAAATAATATGGAGAAAAAGATGAAATTGATTAAATCATTCTTAATAAGAGAAGAATATTTTATAAAGAATTGATTTCTTAAAATGCTTACAATTATGATGCTTGGTTTGATTTAGCTAATTTAGAAATGAGTACTAAAGATGTTAGTAGAATAAGAGAATCTTTTGAAGCTGCTATCAAGAATGTTCCTCCAGGTAATGAAAAAAGATTTTGGAGAAGATACATATATTTATGGTATAATTATGCTGTTTTTGAGGAATTAGAAGCAAAAAATATTTAAAAAGCTATTGAAATTTTTGAAAGAGCTATTTAATTAGTTCCACATCAATAATTTACATTCTCAAAATTATGGATTTTATATGCTTAATTATTAGTAAGAAGTAAAGATCTTGATAAAATGAGAAAGGTTTATGGTTTGGCTATTGGTATATGTCCAAATATCAAAATATTTCAGGAATATATTCAAATTGAATTATAATTAGCAAATATTGATAGAGCCAGAATATTATATTAGAGGTTTATTGAAATATTCCCAGATAATCCAATTCCTTGGATTAAATTTGCTGAATTTGAAAATGATTTAGAAGAATATGAAAGATCAGAAATGATTTTCGAATTAGCATTATAGAATAATTAAATGAATATGCCAGAAACTATATGGAGAGCATATATTGATAATTAAATAAAGTTATAAAATTATGAAAAAGTGAGAGAATTATATGAAAAATTGCTTGAAAGATCTAAACATGTCAAAATTTGGATAAGTTATGCTTAATTTGAATTATCAATTAAGAATATTACTGGATTTAGAGCTGTAATGTAGAGAGGAGAGAAATGCTATATAGGAAAGCCAGAACTCAAAGAAGAAAGAGCCATATTGTTAGAATAATGGAAAGATATGGAAATTGAAATTGGAGATGAATAAGAAATAAAGAAAATCAATGATAAACAACCTACAAAAATGATAAAAAAGAGAAAAATAAAATTATTGGGAGATGAAAGTGAAGATTTTGGTAAATTTCTATATTTTATTCTAAGGTTACGAGGAATATTATGATTATATTTTTCCAGAAGAGAATCCTCAATAAAAAAATTTGGGAATGCTCTTAAATAATGCTAAGTTATGGAAATAATAATAAGAATAAAGAAATGGTTGATATCTATAGTATTTTATATTATATAAATGATAATTTACAAATTCGCATCAGCAATCATAATTTTCTCATTCATATACACAATATAAGTGTCGATTTGTGATTACCATGATTCCATTTAGAAGAAGCTAAAAACTCATTATGTACCACTATTGCAAACATTTATGATGGATAATACTAATTATAGCAAATTCAAATAAGCATATAATGTATAATTATAATGATTTTAAGGAAAGCAGTCTTAACATGATAGAAGAGCCAAGTTATTGTATTGAATCAGACACATTAGTATAGATTTATAAATATATTTAGAAACTTTTGCATCCAGATATACTTTTAGAAGATAAATATGTAGTTAGAGATCTTGACAAAGGGAATCTACAAAGAGAGATAATAAAAAAGAGAATGTTTGATTCAATTTAGAATTTATCTCCTTTATCAAGTAAATAATTATAATATCATTAGAACCTTTAACAAAATTTTAACATCGCATACCTCCTTAACTTTCCTATTTTTACACTTTCAAACCGAGATTACAAGATAATTATTAATTAGGTTAAGGATTAGGATGCATGTTTTAAAAATTAAACCATATACCTGGCTTATATACTTTAACAAGTAAGAATAGTTTAATTTACAATTACGCAAAATATATGTATGATATGAAGAATAGGAATGTCAGTTAATAATGTATTTAAAATGCTTCTTATGTACCACATACTTTAAGATTGAATGTCAAATCAGAATGTTAATAATTCTTTAAGAAATTAACGCAATTACAAAATGATTATAAAAACAATGTTAAAATTTATAATGGTCCAGAATATTTATTAAAAACTGATGAACATCGTGGAGAAGGAATCAGATTATTGTTCTAAAGTCAAATAGAAAATATCACTGAAGTTTATTAAAATGGAGAAAAATGTGGAAACATAACTGAAAAAATTGTGACATAAAAATATATAAATAGACCATTCTTATACAAGGGACATAAAATAGAGTTTAGAATATATATATATTTGGCAAGTAGCAATCCATTATAATTGTATGTCTATAAGAGAGCATTGATTAAGAGATGTGCAAATGAATATGATCCATTATCAGAATAAATACCAGCACATATTTGTAATACTGCAGTCACAGAGAAAACTCATAAAAATTAAACAAATCAAGGTGATGGTAATTTTGAATAAGAAGATGAAGAAATGTTTATTGATTGGAATCTTGAAGGAATTGAAGAATTACTTATAGAATAAGGAAGAATAAGTAAAAAAAAAAGATGGCTTCAGGATTATCTATATCCAAGAATATATTCTAAAATTATTCATACCATTAGAAGTGGACAATATAGTTTTTATTAAGACTCTAGATTCTCAGAATTTTTGGCTATCGATTTCTTATTAGATAATGAATTAGATATATGGTTATTAGAAATTAATTATAATCCATAAATTCTAAGTGTTACACCTGATCGTATTAAAAGGAATTATAAAATGGTTGAAGATACTATGGAAATAGCATTTGCTTATTTGAAGTCTAAGTATAAACGAATCAAATAATTTATATAATAAGAATTATATAATTATAAACATAGTGGTAATAGAATTAGATAGGTTGATTTCAAAAATAAATTTGGAAATAAATTCCATCAATTATTGGAGGATACATCTATTGATTAATAGTTCAGCATTTCATCTGATAATTTATATACTCATATAATTGATGAAAGTAAGAATGGTAAAGATAAATATTTCAATTTGATTGAGGATGAATGTCTCTGATATTTAATGTACATTATGATTTCCATTAAAAAATTTATTGATATTATTAATTGTAACATGATTCTTAATATATCCTAATCAGTCATCAGAATTATTAAGATTATTATTATATTTATAATGATAAATAATAATCTTAAAACATTTTAATGTCTGAAATTTTATTTGAAATTATAGAAAAATTAGATCAAGAAGAATATACAAATTAATTACAAATAATAAGAGAATTCAACCATATTATTCATCTAAAAGTTTATTAGCAACATGTCTATAATTTCTGTGGTTATCATGCAACTTATAACATCTTACAATTACTAAACTATTTTCATTAAAAGAAATGTTATATCTATCATTCAGTTTCATTTTGGAAATATGTCAAATCAGTCTAAAATTATCTCAAATTATATAGAACAAAACACAATATAAACCATGAACCTTGGAGTAATTATGATATTGAGCATGGAGATTTTGAAAGATGTTATTTAAAGCCTTGGAAAGAACTTTATCATAATATTATTGTAATATAATATTAATTTGGACGTGTTGTCAATAGTCTAAAAGAGAAAGAATAAATTGCATAATCAATTTAAGAATTTATTAATTATTAATAAGAAACTCCATTAATATAAGCTTATATGTTAGGAATTACTTTTCATTGGGTTTCCTTTGTTGCAGTAAAAACTAAAACCCAAACCAAATTCTATTTTATGGATTCAAAAAATATTGATTATTGCGAATGGGGAGTTAATCAAATATAAGAATATCTTAATGATATTAATAATTAAAGAATTAAAATTGGTAGAATTCCTTATAAACCATATGAATTAGATATGTATTTATAAGGAATTCTTGATTTATAAGGATTAATTAAACTAATGGTTTAGATTTTAAGAGGAGAATTAAATTTTAATGAATATTTAAGTGATTCCTCTACATTAATGTATGTATAACCTTTATATGAATTATTGGGAATGTCAGAATAATAATTTTTGAATGCAAATCCACAAGAAATTGATGAAAACATCATTACCATGTGGGCTCAAGAGTATAAACATACTATATTTTCTGTCTTAAAAGATGTATCTGTTCACTATGAAAAATCCAGAAAATTATTAACATAAGTTAATAAAATTACATCTAATATTCATTCTAGGATAGGATAATAGGAGGTTCACAATCCCTTTTAATAATGTCATGATGTAATTTAAGGGTTAGTAGAGAGTTTCAAATATTTGTGGAGTTATTTTCCAAAAGAAAAATAAATTAACTTATATTTCAATGATTCTACTAATTGTCAACATATCTCTTATATTACTTATGTAATGAAGGCTTATTTTAGAGAATTTGTAACAAAATAACATCACTATCATATAAGGATATAATTCTATGAAAATATATTTCATCCTCAAGGAGGTGGGTAGCCTGATGATGTTGGTTCAATCATTATTGGAGATAAAGAATTCTTAATAAAAAATATGTATAATGATAGGCAGCATCAAGAAAGTTATGTTGATATTGAATTTTCTTAAGAAGCTTATGATCTTTTATTGGATTGTAGAACAAACAAAACTCCTATTTTGTAGAAAGTAAATAGAGATATAAGAGTTATTCATTCTTAACTGCATTCTGCTGGACATTTATTATAAGAAGAACTTGTAAAGTTAGGCAAAGGTTTAAAGTATATAAAGGGAATGCATTTTTAAAAAGAATCTTATGTTCAATTAGAAGGAGAATTTGAATTACCTATAGAATAAATACCAAGAAAATTTGAATTTGAGAATCTTTAATTATCAATAAATTATTATACACATAATTAAGTATTTGAGATATTAGGATATATCCCTGAATTTGTGGAATTCTCTGATATGGTTAGATGGATAAAGCTAAGAAATTAAGATGTAGGATTTCCTTGTTATGGAACACATACAGTAGAAGGATTACATACAATTTAGATATCCAATATTCTGAAAAATAATAACATATTTACAATATTTTATAATTTGTGAAAATTAATTCCCATTCGTATTCTATTATAATCTGATGAACAAATTCTACATTTAAAATCAAATTGACAAAATTAATAAAAATAATGGAAAACTTACATCCTGCAGAGGAAATTGTTAGAAACATACTTGACAATATTGAGTAACATCATAAGTTTATAGATTTTGTTAATGCTAATTCGAATAAATAAAAATAAGGGATTTGGATTAAGTAATATCATAAAGGAGAAGAAATCAAACCAATTACTGAAAATAATATTAGAATTGTAGAATTACAAAATGAATATATTCCTATTAAATAACAGTTCCATCATATTATGGTTCATAAATAATTTGTACCTAATCTCTGTGGTTATCACGCTACATATAATCTGATATAATGTGTTTAGAGTATCAAATATAAGTAAACATATTATTATATTCTTAGAATTTCACCATAGTTTTACGATATAGCAGCATTTTGGTCCTATGTTCGTAGAACCTAAGATTTTTTAAAATAATATAGAGACTAAAGAGGTTTAGATGGTTCAGTTTGGCCATGGAGAAATGAAGATATAGAAAAAGGAGATTTTGAAAGAACATATTTAAAATGTTGTTTAGAATCTAAACCACTTTTTAAATAAACTTTTTCAAATGAAGTCTTTGATGGAATCAAATATATTATTACTAATGATACGATATTTTATTAATATGGTAATATTGTAAATGGATACAATGAACGTTTGTCTTTATAAAAGTAATAGTATATGTTTATAATTTAGAAAATTCAATTTATTTTAAGAGTTTAGACCAACCTAGAATGATGAAATGATTTAAACATATATGCTTGGTGTTACTAATCATTGGATTTCCTTTGTTGCAATAAAAAATATGAAAGGAACTCAATTTATTGTAATGGATTCTAGAAATCGAGATTTCTTTCTATGGAATTAATAATAAATCAAAGAGTTTTTATAGTAAGATTAATTAGATCGTCCTAAAAGAGGATAAAAACCATTAAATCAATTTTATTTGGATCTTTATGAATAAGGAATGAAGGATCTATAATAATTAATTACTCTTTTAATATCATGGTTAACAGGATAATCAAAATTAGAAGCTTATGTGAGTAATTAAAAAATTCTAGTTTTTTTGAATCCTTTAATTGAACTACTTGAAATCTCTTAAGAGGAATATATCAATCTCAAATTTACTAATGAAAAAGCTGATGAACTCTATTAAATATTGGCTTTATGGTCAGATTAATATAGAATAACAGTGAGAGAATATATAGGAAATGTAACATAAATCACATAATTAAATAAAATACTATTTCTAAAGGCTTTGGAATTGGCAAAGTGTGCATTGAATTATTAAACAAAAAGAGGATTGTGGAATTAATAAAAATAATCATCTCTACATAGAATGCTAGAATATTTATAATTAGTGTATAAATCTTTATGAATAGTATGCTTTTATATTAGTAAAGCTTATAATATCAATTATCATTTTCTTTTGAGTTGATCAATTTCTTTTTTTAAACATTAAATCAATTCTTTTTATTATTATCTAATAGATTCACTTTTAAGAAAGTTTTCTTTATATTTTTCATTCTCTAACAACTCTTATTTTAATTGTATGATTGATATTTAAGCCTTTTTTAATTTTTTAGACAATTGTTTAATTTCTGATTATAACTCTGTATTTTTCTATTTCTCTTGAATTAAGGCTTTAACATTAATTTTTTCTTGAGAAACTTTCTTTTAACTTTTTTTTTATTCAATTGACTATTTTATATGTTTTGATGAAGTTGATCTTATGGGAGTAGATTTTCTTTATGTTTATTTAAATGGAGTAAAATCTTCATCAGAATCTTTAACACCTAAAGTTGGTAATGCTCTTTGAATAATTGATTGTTATAAACCTAATTATTTGTCTATATTTCGTTTTAAATGTGATTCAAAAGATAATATTTTATTGTTTTAATCTCTTAAATCACTACTATTTTTTAATTCTTAAAGTTCTTAATCTAGAAGTGAGTTGAGGAAATTTAATTTGTCTTTAGTAATCATTATTTAAAATAAAAACGGATATGAAGTTGATTTCTTTATGTCTAATAAGTCTTGTGATATCTAATAATATTATGCTTTAAACAGCAAATCATTAAACCTTTTAAGAAGTATTTAGACAATTTTCAAAATAAAGTGATTTTGGAAATAAATTATTTGGAGAGCTTTCAGTATTCATTTAAAAAGGAGCAACTCTTTAAGATTTGAATAATCATGTAGAAGAATTAAGAAAACATTTAGCTAATGATTAAGAAGAAGATGAAAAATACTTTAATGAATAACAATAATCTCTTGAATCTGGATTAGAAGGTTTAGTAAATTAAGTACAAGAATTAAAGGAATCAGTAGATATAGCTGCAAAAAAGATTTCAGTTTTAAATCAATAATAATAAATTATTGATAATCTCTTCTCTTAAGATTAAGATTCATATTAAAAAAGACTTGCTAATTAAAATGTTATTCTTGAAACAATATCTCTTTTGGTTGATAGAGTACATGCACTCTCATCAGAAGGTCATAGTCTCATTGAAAAGGATAATCTTCTTGAAGAAATTAAATAATTGGGTAGAGGAAAACATGTAGAAGTCTTGGCTCAAGTATTTTGCTAATCAAATGTAGATAACTGCTCATTTAGATACTGAATAAGTAGAAAAGGTTTTGAATCTTTTAGAAAATCTTAAAAATGCTATTTTTGCTAGTTTAGAAGCTGATGAAGCCAAAGAATAAGAAAATATAAGATTGTATAATAAATTAACAGGAGAGATAACTGCGTATTTATTTTAATGATGTAGTTCTCTTTCAGAATCTTAGAGATACTACTAGTAATTGGAGATTCATTTTGAATAAAAAGATTATGAACTAAGTGTTGGAAAGGAAAGTATAAAAGAAGTAGGATAAAAATTATAAGATAGAAATGATTCTAGGTAAAATGCATATTGATTTTTATAGATAATTTATATTGGATAGAGTTTAGGAAGCTTAATAATTATTAAATGATAATTTAGATAGAATTGCAAGATGGTCATAAGAATGATTTAAATATAATATTATCTGCCTAAGTATTTCAACTCTTTTATTAATCTTATAATTCTTTAAATTTCTACTCCAATGTTTCTTCTTTTGCCTTCAATTTTTATAATTCTAGATCCTTCTCAGCTAATTTCTTTTTTAAGTCTTAATTCTCTTTACTTAATGACTAAATCATTTATTATTGATTAGTCTAACTATAATTGTAATATATTACTGGGATTGTGCTTTAAGGTTTGTTGTTAGGTTAAGGCATTATTCTAGTGTAAGGCTTATTTGGGATTACAGTTTATGGATTCTATCCCTTTGGATTTACATTATTTGGCAAACTTGCTTAAACTCTTTGAGGTGGAGGATTTGAAGGTACTGTTTTTCCTGTTATTCGAGCTTGTGGTGTCTATGCTCTTTAATTTGGATTTTGTGTAGGGATTGGACCTCTTTAGCTAATGGGCAGAGAAGGTTGAGGACGATAAGTATTTTACTAAACGAAAGGATTTACGAAACTCATTGTAGGTGAGGTTGCTTAGTAGAATGGACGAGGCATAACTGGAGAACTGGGGACACCTTTGAATAATGGATATCTTTAGGGTGTTGTTAGGTACATTAATATTTTATTTATGTATTAATATATGATTTTGATGGATTGTACACATATATTATTATATTTGATTATAATTATAATTTTTACATGAATAAAGTCATGATATCAATAATGGTTAGACACTTTTCTTTTTGTCACCTACTTCTCTTTTTTATAATGCACTTTTTATTAAATTAGTTTTTTCAAAGAGATCCTTTCCTGCTATTTCAAATCTAGATTAATAATAAATTGTTTACTTAATGTCACTATCAATGCTTTAACATTCCAATAAACATGTTTCAATAAATTTAATAAAAAATAAAGGTGCCTATAATTTAAATTATTCATAACTATAGAATTCAGGAAGTGGAGTTATTCCATCTGATCTTTATTTCCATTATAATTAGAATACACAATTATCTTCTGTTATTTATAATTTAATCATAGCTAATTTATCATCTTAATTTGCATAATGTTATGTTACTTTTCTATAAAAATATTAAATATTATTTACTAAGTTAATTCCTATTATTTTTATGAAATTATGCTACCAGTTTTATGATTCTATTAATGCATATTAACTATCAATGCTGTTTAAAGATTTGAAACAACATTACTTTAATTGGAAATATGAGAAGTTTAGATTTCATTAGAAATAGGAATGTTATTATTATTATTTGATGTATTTTGATTATTGTTGTTATTCCCATTCTCAAGTTGACTTTAAGATAATGTTTCACTAATTTCTGAATGTTTTTAATCTACTTTTTCTGCCTTTTTATCCTTTTTATTAGGATCAGGAGGTCTAGGTCCAGCTACTCTTTTTATTGCTGTTCTAGGTTATGCTTATGCTGTTATCTATCTAATTTCATCAAGTTTCTTATCATCATATCTTTCTCCCGTTAAACAAAAATAGTTGAAATCTTCAATTAGTTCTTTGTACTTTTTTACATTTTCTTCAACTTCCCAAGTAGTTTCATCAAAACCTTTCCATTTCACTTAATATTTAAGTTATCCATTAATATGTTGTTTTTTTATGATCTTCTCAGGTTCTTTCATCATTTTTTATTATTATGTTTCAATTTCAAGGCTGTACCTTTAATATGCCAAATATCACCAGGAAAATTAATAAAGTAATTCAATTTAATAATAAAATTGTATTATCTATATGGCTCAATTATTAGGAATTATTTAAGAATCAAACTAACTTCATTTATAAGATTTAATTTCAAACATTCACTCTACCACTAAATTAATAGAAAAAAAAGGAAACGTATTAAAAAAAAGAAGAGATACCCTTCTTACAATCTTGAAAGATTTAAAAGAAAATGATACAAAATTAGCAGATTCTAAGATATCTTGTAGTACAGCACTCTATTCTTCAATGAATGATGATAGTGATTTGATTCAAAAACTATATGAAGAAATATCAAATAAAGATTAATAGATTTAAGAATTAAAAGATTAAGTAGACACTCTCACTATTTAATTACGGAACTCTCAAGCTTGTAATGAAGAAATGCAATATCAATTATAATCAAAGCATTAATAGTAATATCAAAGGGAGAATAAGCAAAGTTAATCTAGTATTAAAATACAATATAAACTTAGTGATTATTCCATCATTATCTTAAAGTATTTAACAAATAAGCAATAATCTTGTTCAGACTTTATCTACAAATTCAAGTAAATCAATTGAGTATCCAAAATCAAAAGAAGAAATGTCCAAAATGATTAGAAGAATTTCTATGTAAGCTGCGGCTTCTGCTCATATTCTTGCAGCAAAAGGTGATTATACTTCATTATAAATTGCTCGTGAAGAAATTCTCAGTTAAAAAAGCGTTGGATCTTAAAAATCATTTAAATGAATTATCATAATGTATAATATTATAAAATAAGATAAAGAATCAAAATTAAGATGGTGATAAATGAGTACTTAATTTAAGTGGTTATGATGTTTCATTAGTTATCTTTATTGTTTTTATAGCTGATAAAGGATCCTTATGATAAAATGTACCTGAAAATTATCCACTACCTCTTTTTGCTGATAGTGGCATCTCATTCATTAATAAATATCTTTTTGTATCATTTATTTTAGAATTCTATTATTATTCATCGTTGATCTCATTTTAACTATTATATTTTGATTCAGATTCTGCTAAATTTAATTAATATATAGCGTTTTTTGTCATTTATTAACTAATTGATTAAATAGCTTAAGTACTAAAATCACTATTAGAATCTAAAAATTAATGAGACAAAGCCTAAGTGGCACTCATCCTAATTTTTGGATTCTTATTAAGCATTCTTCTCAAAATATCCTAAAATATTCTAAATACTTACTATTGATTGTTCTGTAATATAAATACCATCTATTGGTAAATCCAAATCAATTTAACACATTTTATTGGACTTTAATACTTCATCAAATGTTTGACCAATAAATAAACTATGTCCAGTAAGTAATTTATAAAAAATGCATCCAGCAGAAAATATATCTACTTTACAATTATATCTTATATCTGATCTAGAAGTTAAAACCTCAGGAGCCACATATCCAGGTGTCCCACATTTTGGAAATAAATATCTTTAATTATTTATAATTCTTACTTATCTAGAAGTTCTGAAGTTGCTAATCCAAAATCTACAAGTACTAAAGATGTGTAATCATTCTTTTTAGAAAACATTAAATTATCTGGCTTTAAGTCTCTATGAATAATCTAAAATTCTATATGACATTATTACTCGATGAGAATGTAAAATTTTTAAATTACTTAAAAGTTTCCTCATTATCGTCTTGATAGTATTTATTGGTAGTTTTTTATTAGGCAATGTCTATATATATATATTTAATTGTACTCTAGCCTTTTCTAATTCTCCACTTAGACTCAATCCTTCTAAATATGATGTTACTACATATAAAGTGTTATCACCCTCATAAATCTCTTTCAAAACCAGAAAATTATTTTCATATTATTATAATGCCCTCAGAATTTGAACTTCCGATTAAAAACCTTACTAAACATCTTATATATATTTACTAATCCGTTTCCATTCTCTGATATCTTTAAAAAGGCTTTTTCTATAGCTTTTACCGCATAAACTCTTTAATCTAAAGCACTCTTTGCACTATATACCTATCTATAAACAAACAAGCTGTACTTTTGCTGAGCTTCCTTTTCCTATTTGATAAAGAGGTTAGAATAAATCACCTATGCCTTCAAAAGTTACTTTTCCTGCTAATAGTTCTTTGAATCTAAATACTTAAACAAAACTGTACTTAAATAAATCATTTGGTTAGGCATGAACAACCTTCCTTTTATTTTAATGCTCAAACTCAAAGCATTCAAGTTCTGTCTTATTCTTTCTTAATTCCCAATTTATTTTTGTTTCAAGATTGAGCTTTATTCTGTATTTTGGGTTTTGGCAATCTGATGTCTAAAACAATTAGATAATTTTTTTACTGTTCCCATGGTGACCATATCATCAAACACAGTTATATGATAAACCACATCTTTAAAAAAGTGTTTGCGAACACCTTAAAATTTGAATTTAGCTTCTTAGTAGTCTATTGAATCCATTTTATAAGAGTTTAGTATTTTTATAAAAATTTATCTAATTTCAGATTGAATATATAATTAAAATACTATTACATCATTGATTATTTTTCAGTAAAATTATCTCCTAATATTTTTAAGGATTCTTAGAATTAAGAATCAGAAATCTACTCTATACTTATCATAAAATTTATAAGAATTCATTGAAAAGTTTAAATTAAAATATGAATATCTAGAATTCTATAATCTAAATATAATTATTATTTCCTACTTAAGTTAGAATAACATTATGTTAATTAAATATATAAAATAATTTAATAATTTTTATATGTTATTTCATATGTATTAAATACTTTAATTAATTTTATTTTCCATTTAAGAAATTCTGGATATTTCTATTTCTTAATAAAAGTAAATTATTCATTTTACTATATATTAAATCAATTTTGTTTAAATAATACAGTTCTCTCAATTAAAATATAAAATAATTAAGATATTTGAAATACATTTATTTTATATTAAATTCAATACAGATTTTGTCAAATAATTAGATTATTAGAATTATATTTATAATTGATTAAAATATACAGAACCAAATATATTAATTATTTTTAATTGAATAAATAAAATTATTGATTCAAATATTTAGATATTAATCAAAGACATTTATTAATGATTATATTTTATTTAAATTAGTTAAATATTTATAAATTATAAGGTGTTCATAGTTCCTGTAAAATATAAATTAAATAGAGAATTAAATTAAGTTAGGAACTTGAATTATCTTCAAAATTTTTTGGGCATGAAATACAAGATTCATTATTCCAATAATATCTACCATCAGTCATTTTTGAACAAGTTTCATTTGTATAATCTTTAGTTTCAATTCTATCAATACATTTTGGAATTTAATCTTCTTTCCATTAACAAAGTGTCAATGACCCCCAATAACCATCTTTTACATATGTACATTTATCTTACGATGTAATGTCAGAACATAGAAAGGTAGAACATTAACCATTTGATTTTTTACAATCTAATTTATCACAAACATCTAACGGTAATCCTTCACAAGAATTAATGTTATAACTTTAACATTATTTAGTTGAATTTAGCCAACAAAATGTTTGGCCATCTTCATAATTATTTGTACAATTTTCTGCTGCTAATGAATTACAATCAACGGAAATATAAGATTTACATTAATAAAATCCAGCTGCATTTGTTTTATTTTCAGCTGCACAATTTCCTTTTTTTATCATACAATCAATTTAGTCTTTGACTTAATATTCTGTACAAAATCCAGTAGCTTCACATATTCCATTAGAATTAAGACTACATTTGCCTATTAAATCACATTCATTTTCATCAATCTCAGAACAATCTTTATTAATACACACTTCATTAACCCAATTACAAGTGTCAATTCCTAAACATATTGTTTCTTCTACAAATAATGAACAATCACATTAGTATTTAGCAATAAGAGCTCCTAATACATTAAATATGAAAAATTATATGAATGAGATTAAATTTTTCATATTTTTATTAATAAAATTAAGTTTATGATATAGAATTCAAAATTTTTATAGCATGCTTTCCTTTAACAATCTTATATAATCAATTATACATAACCAAAAGAATTTAATATGTAAATCAATTAGATACTTATTTATTAATCAATCAATTTTCATTAACTAATTTAATCTAAGAATTTGATTAACATTATTTGATTCAATTTGATATAGATTATATATCTTTTCTAGCAATTTTTAGTAATATAAATTGAATTCTTTATTTAAAGTACAATAGAAATAATAAATTGAAGAATATTATTATGAATCATAAATTATTTGATTAGATACATTTATTGAATGTTTTTTGAATATAAAATCTATATGAAGTTATTTAGAATAGAGTAGTTTCAAATTCATAACATAATTAATTTAATTAATGACATCTAGTTCTATTCAATAATAAAAAGAGTTGAAGGTTTTCAATAATTAGTTTGTTGTATTGAAGAAAATAAGTTCTGGATCATTCGGAGTTGTATTTTAAGGAGAAGATAAGAAAACAGGTGAATAATTAGCATTGAAGATTGAGAAAGAGGAGAGTGATGAAGCAAAGTCTCTTGATAGAGAAGTATATAAATTTTAGAATCTATAGCTTAGTCATAAATATTATAGAGGTTGTAGGGTATAAAAGGTGTTCCAAAATTGTATTGGTTTGGTTCAGAAGGACCTTATAATATTATGGTAATTTAATTGTTGGGAAGAGATTTGGCTTATTATGCAAAGCATCTAAAAAGATTTTAATTGAAAACATTGATAATGTTAGCTGAGTAAATGATAACGATTTTAGAGCAATGTCATACAAAGTATGATAATCAATAAAATATTTGTAGATCAATAATTCATAGAGATATGAAACCAGAAAATGTTTTAGTTGGACGTGATCCAAATGAAATATATCTTGTTGACTTTGGAATTTCTAAAGTTTTTAAAGATGCTAATGGAAATCATGTGTAAGTTAAATTATATACATTATTATAGACCATTTAGAGATGGAAAACCCTTTATAGGAACAACAAGGTATGCCTCTATTGGTGCTCATAAGGGTTTTGAATTAGGAAGAGGAGATGATTTAGAATCTTTAGGATATATGCTGGTATTTTTATATAAAGGTTCGTTACCTTGGTAAAATTTATAAAATGTAAGTGATAAAGAGAAAACTAAAGTAGTTGGTAAAATGAAGATGTAAATATTGGTTGAAGAACTATGTAAAGACATGCCTAATGAATTTTCAAAGTATTTTGAATATGTTAAAAAATTACAATTTAAATAAACTCCTGATTATGAGTATTTAAAGTAATTGATGCGAAAATGCGCTACTGATAATAAAATTGAATTAGATTATAAATATGAATGGGCATTATTGGAAAGAAAAACTTCAGATGTAAATTATTAAACTTATTATTATAAAGTTGTAATCTTAGTAAAATTCATAGAGAAATATTAAAAAAGATTCAAGTCATTAGGATCCTAATAAAAAATAAACAAAAAATAATCTTAATTCATAAAGCAAATTGAAACCTGAAATTGATAGTGAAAAAATATCAAAATCAAAAAGTCCTGCTAAAAATACTAAAAGATAATCTTTGATACCAGAAATACAATCATAAAATTAATCATAATCTAGTCAATTTGATTTTCTTCGTCCTCCAGATCCTTATGCTAAAGCTAGAGCTATTATTTAAAGAAGTTAAGAGAGACACAAATCTGTATCATCATTAGCACCATCATAATATAGCTAAGTGAATACAATCCAATCTAGTATTGCAGGAAACTATTAAGCTAGTCATATAGATATGTTTGCAACAGATAGTCAATAATAATAATAATAATAAGAGACAACAGAAAAGAAATAGGATATGATTTAAGCATAGAATTTTGGTTTTCAACCTTTGGAGAATAATGATACTATTGCTATGCTTATAGGTGAGGATGAAGAAGGTCCTTGTTTCTAATATTAAGAACTATTAGAAAGGCAAGTTTAAGCGTAAATATTAAAATTAATCATAAGGCAATTTAAAGAATATGTGAAAAGTGGGAATAAAAATAAAAGAAACCAATGATTTTAATAATATATATTTAATATATCTATTATATCTTTCAATTTTTTTTTAATTCTGCAAAATATTGATGTAACATGGCATCTTTTGGAGTTATTCTTTCAGCATGATCATATAATAACATTTTAGATAACAAATCAATTGCATCTAAACTACATAAATGAGCATTGTCTTAATTAACAAAGGATAACCAATCTTATTTTGGATAACAAATATATATTATTAATTTTATACTTAAGTAAAAGTCCATTATATGCATTATCCAATTTAATATTGTATTTTTTTATATATTATTTTAATCCATCTGTTCCTAAAACCTTAGCAATCTTTACTAATTGATCATAATTATCATTTCCTTAAAAGAAAGGTTCTTTTTTAAAAATCTAACAAAATCTATATATATAAATGTACCATAGATGCAAACATTGCACCAGTACTCCATATATCTAAAGAATAATCATAAAATTAATAATCCACTAATAATTCAGGGCCTTTAAAATATCGTGAGGCTACTCTAACATTATAATCTTGAGAAGGATGATAAAATTCTGCCAATCCCCAATCTATAAGTTTCAAGGTTCTAGTTTTTGGATCAACAATAATATTTTATGGTTTAACATCTCTATGAAATATACCTCTTTAATGAGCATAATCTAAAGCCTATTTTAAGTTTTAGTTTACTTTTAACAATTCAAATAAATAATGCTTAACATCATTATCAGTTAATTTAGGGAACATACTCCTAAAATCTGTATTCTCCATATAAGGAAATACCTATATTAAGTTGATTCTTTACTAAAGTAGGGATTTTTAAATTATCATCTCTGACAACATCATTAAGATCAATAATATTAATGCCTCCTTTTAAAACTTAAAGAATGCGAATTTCTCTGCGTATTTTTCTTTTTTTAACAGGTTTAAGCACTTTAAGAACTACTTTCATTCCATTCCTATTATCGACACCTTCAAAGACTTCGGAATATTTGCCTCTTCCAATTTTACAAATTGCCTCATAAGGCTCTTCTGATCTGAAATATATGTATAAAATTATACCCATATTCAATTTTAGCATTCTCATAATCCCAATAAGATGGTGGTTGAGTCTGATTGAATGTGGCATAATATTTAGGTAAAACAACAACAGCTCCTTATTACTATTTCATTAATTAAATATAAAAATGTAATATAAAATTTACAAATCAAAATCACTTAGAAACTAATTCTTAAATTTTACTTCTTAGTTCATCTACTTATCTGTATGTACATCTATTTTATTTCTAATCAACCATCTAATCAATTTTTAGCATTTTTGAGAATTTCTTATAATCATTCATATTTTAGAGAGTACAATGACAGATAAGTAAAT